GGAACTCTGAAATAACGCACTGAAAAAGACACATTTTCATTTTTTGAGGTATTCTTGTCAAAAGTGCTTAATTGCAATCTAATTATGGAAAACATCAGATATAAACTGAAGAACAATCTACAAAATAACTGGTAGGACTCTCAAAAGTGTGAAGATAATAAAAGAAAAAAAATCTGTCATAGTTTGGAAGAGACATAAATGCAATATAAGATCCGGGGAAAAGGACAGTGGTGGCAAAACTGGTAAGACTTGAATAAGGTCTACAGTGTAGTTAATAACATATACCATTCTTAATTTGATAATTGTACAAATGGGTATCAAGTTGTTAACATTAAGGAAAGCTGGGCAAAAAAAATAAATGAGATCTCTCAGTATGATTTCTACCACTTTTCCTATTCTAAATTTAATTCAAAATGAAGTTAAAATAATCACTTGTTGCAAAAGGAAGAAAGAAGGAAGGAGAAGGCAAAGGGGAAAGGGGAGGATGAAAGAAGAAGGAAGGGGGAAGGAAGAAAGTTCAGTTACTTGTCCAAGGTTACCCATCCAACAACTAGAGTGAGCCTAGTTTAAACTCAGGTAGTTTAATAATCTTTCTCAGAAAACAAGAAATGAAACTTATCCTACTCAGTTAAAAAGGAGATGTTCTCTTGATACTGAAATCTAATTTTCCCATAAAAAACTGCTACATGTTTTTATTTATAGGAAACTTTCAGTGAATAAAATGTCTTTTTCTTTAAATATAATAAAATATAAAATAGTTTGTGCTACTATTACACATTTTTAAAATAAAAATCAGTAACTAATATGGCCAATTAATCAAACTTCTGCACTGTCTCAAAATTTTGTATTACCAGTTAATTGAACCAGTTATGAGTGTTATATAAGCATAAACATCACTTTCAGACAACGAAAAAAGTCCTCCTGTAAAACAAAAACTAAGCCACAATCACACATATATACACTCAAGATAAAACAGGTGTTCATGACAAGCCTCAAAAATAAAATACTTCTGATATCTATGAAGTCAAAGTTATGGTCCTAAGCACCTTTACAGTTGTGGTAAAAATAATTTTTTTCTAATTTTCTCAAAAACATCTAGATATCTTCCTTACTATATTAACTTTCAGGGGAAATCACTAAACTTGACGAGCCTAGCTTTTTAAAATACCATTCATATTTTCCAGAAATGTTTTATGAAACATAAACCAAAATTTTTACAGTTTAAAGGCTGCAAGCAACTTGGAGGATAGGGACTCCATTCACCCATCACCAAGACAGTTATCTAGAAATGCAGGTACTTAAGAAATACCAAATTACTGTTTCTTGATATACTATAGATGTTATATCGCAAAGCACATAAGAATCAGAATTTTTTGAAAAATCAGAGCATGTATGTACAGTTATGAGGGTAAAATTTAATACAGAAAATACTGGACTGTTTCCTATACAAAGATATTTATAGTAAACAAACTATGTAAGTTGGTCCAATAAGTAATAGCTCCAGGTAGTCATTAGAAGTCACTAAGAATGCTTGGTGACACAAAAAAACACTATTATGCCATACATAAAAATGATAAAACATACCACAATTTGAGTTTTACAGAACTCAAATGCATGGCACATTTTAGGTGACTATTATTTTCTTCTTTATAGTTTTATGTGATTGTCACATTTTCTACAATGAACAATTTTATTATTTAAAAAATTCCTTTAAAGATTCTTTAAGAAACACAAATTACATGCCATTTGCAGCAATGTGGATGGAGCTAGAAAGAATTATGCTCAGCAAAATAAGCCAGAAGGAAAAAGAAAAATACTGGATGGTTTCACTTATAGCAGGAATATAGGGGAACCCAATAAGACATCAGTGTAAAAAAAATAAAAGTAACAGCACAAAACACAACAAAGCAAAAACAGACAATTATAAATCAGAGACATCCAGCAGGGGAGGAGGTGGGAGAGGGATAGAGGGAGGGAGGGATGGGCACAGGGGACTGAGGTGATGGTGCACAGATGCATTGGTGAAGGAAACTCTATGGGGACTACACCTGAGGGGATGGGGGGAAACAAATATTGTTTAAAAATGAACAATGATGTAAAAAAATTTAAAAATTATTAAAAAAGAGAGAAAAAAAAGAAACATGAATTAAAACCAATGTGATACCAAAACAATATGATTATGGTTATCAATGATACCAATATCTATACGTTCAAAATGATAAAACTGATCTAACACTAAAATCCAAACTTTCACATATCTTTTATTATTTTTTTAATTTAAATATTTTATTTTATATAATTCTTACATCTTTTTTCATCTTTGCACAATGTATGCATTTTCATTTTGGTTATATTCCCCATACAATTGCACCCCCCCCTCATTTTGACACTAGTCCTTCCTTTCCCCACCTCTCTCTCCGGGCCCACCCCCCGTAGTGTATTTCTGGTTTATAGCTGCTTGTTGATTTTGATTTTTACTTTGTATTGATTAGTCTTTTTCCTGGTCTCTTATTTAGGTTTTCTAAATTCCTGCTATGAGTGAGACCATCCGGTATTTTTCTTTTTCTTTCTGACTTATTTCGCTGAGCATGATCCCTTCTAGCTCCATCCATGTTGCTGCAAACTGTGTGTGTTTATCTTTTGTGATTGCTGAGTATTATTCCATCATATATATGTATATATGTACCACATCTTCTTGATCCAGTCATCTATTTTTGGGCATTTGGGTTGCTTCCATAGCTTAGCTATTGTAAATAGTGCTGCTATAAACATAGGCATGCAGGTGCCCTTTGGAATTACTGTTTCTGTGTCATTTGGGTAACTACCTAGGAGTGGAATTGCTGGATCATATGGAAGCTCTATGTTTAGTAGGTCAAGAAATCTCCACACAGCTCTCCATAGTTTCACATATCTTTTATACGTTACTTAACAAGGTAAAGAAAATCAGTTAAGGGCCTCCCCTGGTGGCGCAGCGGTTGAGCGCCAGGGCTGCAAAGCTGCCAGAAGCCTCTGCAGCGCCAGTTCGATCGATCCCTGGCCACTGCCTGCCGAGGGTCCCACATGGTGTGACAGATCTCTGTTGCCACGCCCGCTGCTCCCCTCAGCAGTGTATTTCATCAGTCTGCCTCTTCTGCTCCCCGCTCTGGCTCTGGTGAATTCTCTCACCCTCCCGTGCTTCTGACTGTACCCAGTACTTGTATAAATAAATAAATAAATCTTCAAAAAAAAAAAAAAAAAGTAAATCAGTTAAAATAAGTATTATCCTAATATAAATGTTAAATTGTAGCAAAACATTAAACAATAAACTATGTGTTTTACTTCCCCTGAGTAGTAAGTACATATTTCAAAATACTTCCAATTATATATCCTGCTACAAAGTAATTTTAGTTTTTGAATGTATTCAGATTAATCATGTCTCCTGAAACAAAACAATTACTCCAACTTGTATTTTCCTGGTATGATATAGGGGGAGCATTTATATAGGAGGATATTTATTCTCAACAAGTATTACAATTGGTATCACTAAATTTTGCATCTTTTAAAGATAATGAACAATGCAATCAACAAAGGTGCAGTCTCATAGGAGGGCTCATGTAAAACACCATCAAAGGGTAAGAGAGTTGTACTGATTGCAAAAACATTCTATTAGGGAGTGAATATTAACAACTCAATACATCAAAGGCACATGGTTCCTATTGAGTATCATGGCTTTTGACCCTGAACCCCCAAGTTGGGAATCAGCACACATCACAAGAGCACAGGCTTTACAGCCTGATGTGAGGTTGTATCCAAGCTCTTCTTCCTACCTGCCTAATACAAAGAGTGTGCTTTGGGCAAATAACCTGTTGGTTATTCAGTTCCTCATTCTCTCAAGGGTTAACAATAAAATGGAGTAATACATAAAATCAATCTAGCTATAAAAAGGTTTAAAAGAATGCCTGGTAAACATTTAACAGTATATGCCATAGAGTTCAAAAAAGATTTGTAGGCGGGCCTCCCCTGGTGGCGCAGTGGTTGAGCGCTGGGCTGCTAGGCTACCCAAAGTGCCGGTTCGTTCCCCGGCTGCCAGCCCACAAAAAAAAAAAAAAAAAAAAAAAAATTTGTAGGTATGTAAGAATGTATGTAGTATTAAAATGATATCAACCTGATAAGCATGTCACTGGTGACCTTTGCTAAGAGCAGCCTGATATATATACCAAATATACAATATTTCAAAGTCTGTGCTTCCTTCCATGTCCTTCTGTGAAATCATTTTGATGCTCAACAACATGATATAGAAAGCTCATCTTTGTTACATTCCTACTGATTCCTCTGTAGTTCTGGATAGTCTAAAAGCAAAAAAAGACCAACAAATAGGAAAGCATTGGCAGAATAATGAAGTAAAAACTGGTCAAGGAAAAAACGGCCACTAGAGGGCAACTTTTACAATAGTCAAACCAAGAAGCTCCAACCACCAATCACTAAGAGTGCAATTATCACAGTCTCTCAAATAATAAATAAAAGAATGAATATCCTGGACAAAAACTTACTGTCACTCATTTATTCAGAAAACACAATGACCTCTGAAACAAATCAAACAGAAAATGTGTAAATTGTGGTATATAAATTATATTTAACTTAATATTATTACTATTTAATATTTCATTTTTTCAAAATCTCTACATTGGGAAAGTGAAGCTTATTTTGAAAAAAAAAGTGCTAAATAAAGCATTTTAAAATAGTTTTATATAGCATTTTAATTAGTCTTTTACTCCTTTAGACACCTTATTTATATATTTTCCTTTATAGGCATAGTCTACAATGCTGAGTGTTCCTTTGTTTAGTGTATAACTAATATGTTTGGAAGAAAAAATTTTAAAAAGGCCTAAATATGCACAATGCATACAAACAGGTAGTAGGAAGTAGTCTTTCCATTATATTTTTTAGTATCAACTCAATCAACAAAATGTAATGATGCCACATATGGAGAGCAACACAGAGATCAAAGTAATTTTGCTTACCATGCCAAACTGCTGCATGTCCATCCCACAGAGTTGCCACTGTCTTCCTTGCACCATCCCATAAATTATGAGAATAGGCTTCTTTTAATACATTCTTCCTCTTATAAATGTGTAAGAAAATAATAGTAAGGTAGAGAAGAAAGATAGTAAAGTAAGGGAGTATTAGAAGTATTAGTGGTGTGAAAACCCACAAGAGATAGTTTGCAAAATTCAAATAATCCTCCAGTTGCTCCACACCAAACCATTCTTCCAGTATGTGAATCACACAAGTCATATAGGGCATCAAATCCTGTCCCACACCACAGGTTTGATTTTTGTCTGTCATTTTTCTTTAGGTGAAAGTGACAAATTCAGTCTCTTTCTTTATTGCCATAGCAGGTCTTTAATTTTGCCACTAGAAGAGAAAAATAACCCAACGTTATTCTCTTCGCAGCTGAAAAGTTGTATGTTTCAGTCTACAAAAATACCAGTCATTTCCTAATACTAATAATGAGTGAATTATTAAATAACTAGCTTTTTTGTACATTAAACTATAAAAATTATAAGGTTTCTTTGTCTGCTCATGAAACATGCCAGGTTTAACTTTTAAAATAACTTACAAGCTATTCATTCAGAAAGGAAAAAAAAGCTCATGAAGAATGAAATTTCAAATTGATCTCAATAATCTGACTTATAGCCTAAGTGGGTCATATTGAACATTTGTATTTTAAACTAGATCATACTGAGATAATTCTGTTCTTATCAAGAGAAAACAACAGTACCTGGTTCAATAAAAGTAACAGTTCTATAGGTTATGGGAAATGATCACATACATTTTAGACATTGTCTTTTATAAGCAGATTTACAGAAAAGCTCTTGTTCTTATGCATTATACAATAAATTTTACCAGTTTTCATTATCTTATATTCACTAAAATATGTTTTAAGTCTTAAATAAAATCATTTCATGAACACCTCTCTAAACCAGTCTCTTAACTTACCAGGAATCAGATAAATAGCTTGACCCAAGCTGCAATGTACATAATCTGAAAAACACAGCACACAAATAGGAGAAAAATATGATTAAAATAATTAACACCTAGAGTTAAAATTTCCACAAAACAAACTATGAGACTTTCAGAAATGTGTGATATGATTGTTAGTCACACTAGTGGATCATTATTAAAAATTATATTCTTGCCACTACTGCTTTAGTGAGGAAAACTCTGTGCACCATTTAGTAAAATTATACAAAGCCCCTCAGAAGATTTTTAAACCTCTAACTATAAAAATTCTGCTTCTCAGGAGAAAAAGTATGAACTTAAGATGTATAACTATCTCTGTGTCACCACTAAGCTGAGGGTCAAACATGGTATCTGATGATACAATTATAATAGCACTTACATCAGGTTCTCCTCTGTAAGAGATCTTCCATTCCTCCCTTTTCTGATTCTAAAAGATATTTCATCATTATCCTATACTACATAATCTTAATGAAAATCACCTCAAATCCTTTGTGTAAGAGACAGAAAATGAATCCATGAAAGAGACAGAGGGAGAGGGAGAGACAGATATACAAGAGCAGTATATGCTGTCACCACACCAAAATTATCTCACTAATTGACTTACTGCTATTAGTATTGTTCCTCTGGAGAGGGAGAACTTAAAGTCTAATTTCCTTGAAAGCATCAGCATTTACTTGCAATACTTCACTGCTCCCTACTAGATTCAGATTTATACAGTAAACCTGTCCACTTGGTGATTTCTTAAGTGTCAGGGCAACAATAATGAATGGCAAAATTCTATTTTTCTCCTTGTCTGAATTCTTAACTCTTTCAACTATTCCTCAGACCTTGGTTTCTTAAACTTTCATGACTCAGGTAACTCAGTGATTGGCTTCAGTTATCTGATAGTGAAATGATATATATGTGTGTGTATATATATACATGTGTATATACATATATGCACACACACACGCTCACACAGTAACACTATATAGATATTATCCCTATCTTACAAACATATATGTGCATATGAATATGTGGGGGTAGAGATATAGAGCAAGGTTAAGAGAGTTATGGAGGTTATGGAGGGTTTTGGTGCAGCGGTTGAGCGCTGAGCGCTGGGCTGCGAAGCTACCCACAGCCTCGGCAGCGCCAGTTCAATCCCCGGCCGCTGGCAACGGTCCCACATGGCACGCAGACCTCTCCTGCCATGCCCGCTGCTTCCCTCAGCAGTGTATTTTGTCAGTCTGTCTGTTCTGTTCCCCGCTCTGGCTCTGGTGAATTCTCTCACCCTCCTGCGCTTCTGACTGTACCCAGTCCTTATATTAAAAAAAAAAAAATTTAAAAAAAAAAGAGGATTATGGAGTTCTTTAGCTGTCAAGAGGGGAAGGTACTGCTATGTAACATAGTTTGGGAAGTCACTCTAAAATTTAATCAGAGACCTAAGTGAAGAAGCAAATCATGTGGGTATTTGGAAGAGAATTCCTAGCTAAATGAACACAAGTACACAGTGTGGTCTCAGAAGCAGCAAGGTAGGAAGGCTGAGAAAAATAGGGAGAGCAGTCAGAAATGGGTATAGAGAGGTAGCATTGTAATACCTGTAAGACAACTCTTGTATACGTGAGAAGGAGAGGTGTGAAGCTTTGAGCAAAAGGGTGAAATTACCTGACCTGGTTTTAAATAACTGCTATGTTGAGAATATACTATACAGGGAACAAATAGAAAGCTACTACTATATATATGTAAATGAGATGAGTGATGTAAGTGACTCGGACAGTGGCAAAGAGACGGTGGCATGATGAGATCGGTTTCTGGATGTATTTTGAAGAGAAAGTCAAAGGACTTGCTGATAATAGGTGTAGAATGTGAATGAGAGAGATGTTTGAGATGACTCTGTGTTTTTGGCAACAAGGGTTTGTATCATGGGCAAGTTACCTACCTGTATGACCTAGGAAAGTTACTTTACATCTCTCTGTCTCAGTTTCTTTACCTGTAAAATGAGGAAAGTAACAGCACCTACTTGTAATATGTGTTTTGAGCACGTGAAGTTTAAGATTCTATTCTAGTAAAGGCATGAAACAGACAACTAGAAATAAGCAGAGTTCAGCAGGAAGGTCAGAGCTACAGAAATATAAATATATAAAAATTTCCTCATATAGGAATTGACATACAGAAGTATTAAAAACCACGAAACTTAAGAAGATCCTTTAGGGGGTGAATATAGTATAAATAGATTTTCCAGGACTGAGCCTTGGAGCACTCAACATTGCAGAAGTTGGTGAACAAGGAGTAACTAGCATCCTCCTTCCAGAAATCTCATCCTGCGTCTCAAAATAAGAGTGTTTAAAAAAGGGAGAAATAATCAACCAGCTGTTTCAAATGTTGCTGAGTTTAGTGCGGTAAGGAATGATAACTGACCGTTGGATTTTATAACATAGCAGTACTGGGAACCTGTGATAAGAATTATTTTGATGTAAGGTATGAAATTCCAGGAGGGGGCCACTCTCATGGCACAAGGGATTAAGCACAGCACTGTGAAGTTAACCACAACCTCTGCAGCATGAATTCCATCCCCAGCAGGCCAGAGAGTTACCCACATGACACAGCAGGCCCACTGCTCCCCTCAGCAGTGCATTTCAGTCAGTCTGCCTGTTCCCCACTCTGTCTCTGGTGAATCCTCTCACCCCACCCCACCCCCACACCTCTGGCCCGTACCCCAGTTCTTGTATGCATAAAATAAATAAATCTTAAAAAAAAAAAAAAGAAAAGAAATTCCGGTAGGGAAATACAAGAATGAATGGGAACAAATGAAGTGCAAACAAATTCCTCCTTCAGAGGAATACAGCTGCTAAAAAGGTACAGTAGAGAAGCAGGTGAGTGTCTAGAGGGGAATGTAGATAACTTTGTTGTTGCTTTAAGATGAAATAAAATAAATCAGCATTTAATGCCAGGGGTAATACATCACTGGGAAAGTGAGAAATGGATAATACAGCACAAAAGATAATTCCGTGGGGCCTGTCCTTGATTAAGCCAGTGGGGATAAATATGGCATATTAGAGAAGGGGTGGTCCAGAGAAGACCTGCTTCCTCCGATTATTCATTTATTTACTCTATTAGATACTTATAGTTTGTCCTCAGCACTAATCCAAACACTGGGGATAAATCATTAGATAAAATAGTTAGATGAGAAAACATAAGTAAAGCACTTAGAATTATGCCTGGCACATCTTAGATATCTGACAAAGATGTGACAATTATGTTCTTCCAAATCTACGACAAAAATGTAGAGCAAGGGACCTCCCCAGTGGCGCAGCGGCTGAGCGCTGGGTTGCGAAGCTGCCCACAGCCTCTGCAGTGCTGGTTCGATTCCCGGCCACCGGGCGAGGGTCCCACATGGCACGCAGGCCTCTCCTGCCGCCCACTGCTCCCCTCAGCAGTGAACTTCATCTGTCTGCCTGTTATGCTCCCCGCTCTCACTCTGGTGAATTCTCTCACCCTCCCGCACTTCTGACTGTACCCAGTGCTTGTATAAATAAATAAAATAAAATAAATAAACCAGATAAAAGCTAAAGTTCATAAAAGGTGTTTTTTGGCAGATATGTTTTAGTTACCAAATTGCAGGTTATTTCCCATCCCAAAAATATCTGCAATAAATCACAGTCCTATGTATCACATACAAAGTATCTCAATTTTTCCAGCTAGAATTCATGTAACTCATAAAACAAAGTTGACAATCTGAAATATCACCATGTTGATGATGAGAAATATTTAGTAAAATTGATTTTCTAGTTGTCTAAAATCAAAATATTTGAAAAATTAATAAATAAGAACAGTGGATTTTTTTGCTGGCTTTCCTGGAAAGCTTAAAGAAATAAAGCTTTTTTTTTTTTAAATTGTTATTGAGATAGCATTGGCTTACAGTATTAATTGTGTTTTAGAGGTATAGCAACTTGCCCCTCAAATGCTGTTACTATACCACACCCACCAGCAAAGCACACAGTTTATCCCCACAGTCCTCTGTGCTCCCTCCCCACCTTGCTCTTGCTGTTCCCCTACCCCCTCAAAAAGAAATTGATATTTAAACCCCCATTACCAGTATGTGTACTATCATGGATGATAGCAGATCCATTTCTTACTTCTAGTTTATGAGTCATAGTGAGGATAGTGTGAAAATGTCCATTAAAAAATACTCACTGAAATTCAAATTAATTTTCCCTTTTTCTTTTTTGCATGTTTTAATAATGTAAATTAAAGTTCACCTACTATTTCAGTTAGGTTATCTGACAAACCCCATCATTTTAACTTCAAAACAATACCTTTTGATTTCAAGCTTTAAACTGTACGGTTGTTTTTTTTTTTTAAAAAAAAAAAAAGATTTATTTATTTATGCATACAAGAACAGGAGTGTAGGCCAGAGGTTGCAGAGGATGAGAGGATTCACCAGAGATAGGGTGGGGAGCAGAGCAGGGGAATCTACTGAAATACACTACTGAGGGGAGCAGCTGGCAAGGCAGGAGAGGTCTTCTGTGCCATGTGGGTTAGCTCCCTGGCAGGGGTTTGAACTCATGCCACAGTGGCTGGTGATAGCTTAATAGGCTGAGAATTTAACCCCTTTAACACCACCAGGGTGGCCCAAATTGTAGGTTTTGATATGAATTATCTTTCAAGGTTTGGTTTTTTGTTTGTTTGTTTTGTTTTTTAAAATCTTAGACTGTCCCTCAAATTTTAATAAAGATATCCCACTGGGTTTGACAATTACTGTTCTCTCCTTATTTTCTTAACCTAGCCTCATCCCCAAACTGTTGCATATCTCAACTGGTGTATCCATAACTTTGCAACACTCTTACCTTCTTGAGTCATTAAAATGATTCTACCTCTGACATCAACGTAAAGCTGTAGGAATTAACCTTTCATTTGTAAGTTAATCTTCTATTTCCACCCACTAGTAAATGCAGCCAAAATAATAGTGAATATTTGTTTTCATATTTTCAAAGAAATAAATTCTTTTCAATATCATTTCAGCATTAACACCACAAACGAAGTCCTAAGTGCTCCAACAACTTCAAGTCTGTACATGCTTCTTTGAAGAAGCAGCCTGGGCAGTTTCAGCGAATACCACGCACTATCTGCTTTTTTTTTTTTTTTTCCCCAAATTAGCGGAGCTGTTCCAGTTTTCGACACTCTGGTTATGTGCACATGTATTTTTCTTGTTAATCAGTAGCTTGAGGGAAGAGAGCTGTTTTACAGGGTGCAAAAACTCTTGAGACCGAGTCAGTGCCTGGCGTCTACAAAGTCTGTAACGACTCCAACTATTAATAGCACAAATGAAAGGTTTGATATAGCTAGTTTCAATTAGACCATCTCAGCAGCTCTAAGAAGCAGGTATTAAACATCCCCATTTTACAAATGATCACAATGAGGCTCAGAAGGGTTAAGTCGCTTGCCCGGAGTTCTAAGCCTGATGTGTCAGGACTCGAGCACCCGTGCAGCCTCGCCACTCCATTCTTGAGATCGCCAAATGATTCCCTTCAGCTTTTACAGACACTAAGCTCGAACCAGGTTCCAGAATCGCAGAGGTCAGCGGGACAGCCAGGGGTCTCTAAAAAGGTTGGAGCACCCTCGTCCCACCACCCACCTATGGTAAACCAAGACGAAACCCGCCGAAGTTGGGGGGGCGGGGGGGGGCGCGCCAAGACAGACACTGGGCGATGTGAATGGGCTCGTTGTGACCCAGGCAGGGCCTCCCCTCCCGCCACTCCGGCGCCCCAGGCCGCCGCCCGCCCGGGTCTGGGATTCCAGAGGGGCCCCGGGAAGACCAGACAGCGGCCTCGGCCGCTCCCAGCGCCCCGTGACTGACGCGCCTAAGGGCGATGAAGAATGCGGGCAGGCTACAGCGGGGGACCCACGCACCTAGGGCGGGAGGAGGCAGGGGCCGCTCGCCGTCACTCCCGAGCAGCGACGGAGCGATCCGGTGGCCCAACGACCGACGGAAGCAGCGAAATTTGAGCGCCTGGCTCTCCCGGGCAAACGGAGGGGGAAAAACAAGCGCCAAGCGGCGGCTGCAGGCCGAGCCACGTTGAGTGTGACACCACCGGTCGCCCCGCCTTTTCCTGTGGCCTCCCGGAACCACTTCCGGTGGTGGCGCTCCCCGTTACCTCCCCGCTCGAGCTGCCCCGGGCCCGTTCCTAACCCCTCACCCGCGGGCGCGCGGCGAGACCTTCTTCCGGTCCTCGAGGAGCGAACCGGGACGCCGCGTTCCTGCCACTTAGAACGGGGGTGTCGCCTCTGAAGTGGTAAAATGTGCTGCGAGAAGTGGAGCCGCGTGGCGGAAATGTTTCTCTTCATTGAAGACCTGGAGGAGGATTATAAAATCCTTTGCCTCTGCTCCAGGGCGTTTGTGGAGTAAGTAAACACGTGGTCGTCTTCATTTCTCGGAAATATGTTGTAATTGGTCCTTGAAACCACGGCGGCCCTCGAGCAAGGTGATGTTTAAGAAAAGAAGTCCCCCGACCTTACAGGGTGGTCGTTTCCTGGCCATTAAGTGAAGTATATTTTTCCTGTTAGGAAAAAATTGGTGCCTGATATATGCCAGCTTTATAAATGCAGGGGACACTTAAAAATTGGGGGGAAGTGGGCCTCCCTTTGCGGCGCAGCGGTTGAGCGCTGGGCTGCGAAGCTGCCTCCAGCCTCTTCAGCGCCGGTTCGATCCCCGGCTGCTCCCTGGCCACTGGGTGAGGGTCCCACATGGCGCGCAGACCTCTCCTGCCGCCCGCTGCTCCCCTCAGCAGTGTATTTCGTCAGTCTGGCTGTTCTGTTCCCCGCTCTGGCTCTGGTGAATTCTCTCACCCTCCCGCGCTTCTGGCTTCTGACTGTACCCAGTGCTTGTATAAATAAATAAGTAAATCTTTAAAAAAAAAAAAATTGGGGGAAAGTGAGACGTAAATTTTTTTTTTAAAGATTTATTTATTTATACATGCACTGGGTACAGTCAGAATCGCGGGAGGGTGAGAGAATTCACCAGAGCCAGAGCGGGGAGCAGAGCAGGCAGAAGGACCGAAGTACACTGCTGAGGGGAGCAGCGGGCGGCAGGAGAGGTCTGCACGCCATGTGGGGCCCTTGCCCTGTGGCTGGGGGATGGAACCAGTGCTGCAGAGGCTGCGGGGCAGCTTCTCAGCCCAGTGCTCAACCGCTGCGCCACCAGGGGAGGCCCAGAGACGTAAAATTTAATGAATGTAACCTTAGAAGGTTAAAGTTTGAAGATGAGTGATTTGTGTTCCTTAAGTTTTTTAAAACCTTAAGATTCATTAAAGCGCACGTTCACATAAATAGAACTCTAGCTGAGATCAAAATTTTGACTATAATTTCATCAGTTTTTTGAGCGCTTTATTTTGGCGGTGGGAAAATACTTTTTTTGAGTAAAAATTCCCTGCATGGAAAAAGCTAGTGGGTGAAAAAAAACTGACCGAAGAATTGGAGTCTAGGGATGGCATCTTTATACTCTTATCAGGACTATGAGTTCAGCCACTTCGTATTTTCAGTCCTAAAACAGGTTTATTGTTAGATTCCACTGTGGAAGTGAATTTTATGTGATATTTCTAACACAGTTCAATGTACTTGAATTTGTTTGAAGGAATTCTTACTATTCTTAATGTGTTTTTGTTGAGTAATCAAAAATTATCCAAAGTTAAGTTAAATACAGTTTAATGTAAAAGATTGTCTTTGTAGCATGCGTGCGTGTATTCTCTCATTCTTTTGTGCTATGTATGGATAGACTGGTCTACAAGTCAAAGCTTGCCCTATACCCTTTGAGTTTACTTTCTGGTAAAGATGATGAGTGTTGACAACTGTTTAAGAATTATTTAAATGCTGTGGAAATACCCTGCGCAGGAGAGGTCTGCACACCATGTGGGACCCGCGGCAGGGGCCAGGGATCCAACCAGCGCTGCAGGGGCTGTGGGCAGCTTCACAATCCAGCACTCACTGGGGAGGCCCTGGCTCAAGTTTTTAAAACCAGCCTAGACTTCTCCAGAGTTCCAAACCAATATATACATCTACTATAACGTCTCCAGACAGGTACTACAAAATCAAAATGGACAAAATAGTTTCTTTCACCACTTAACAAAATAAAACCCATGCCTCTCTAAAGATCCCTATCTCAGTGAAAGGCATCAATACAAGCCAGAAACCAGGGACTTGCCCTTTCCATTCTTTGTTTTCCTTTCATCCCACATCCCCACTTCAATCCAACCCCTTAAATCAAACAATTTCTCTTCTATATTCTTCCTTTCCTCCAGTTCCTCTGCCACCAATCCTAATCCATAATCTGTTGGCTGAAAATGGTTTTAAGTAGCTCTTCTCCAAGCACCCACACTGCTGCTAGTGTAATCTTTAAAAGTAAGAGTTCAATAATACCTTCTATGTCCCTGGCCAGGGTCCCACATGGCGTGCAGACCTCTCCTGCCGCCAGCTGCTCCCCTCAGCAGGGTATTTCGTTGGTCTGCCTGTTCTGCTCACCGCTCTGGCTCTGGTGAATTCTCTCACCCTCCCGCGCTTCTGACTGTACCCAGTGCTTGTATAAATAAATAAATCTTTAAAAAAAAATTTAAATAAAAAAATAATATAAAAACTTGAGCCATTCTAGTGCAGATGGTAATTGAAACCATTTACATTTTATACTTTTTACCCACTTTGCACCCACACCCTGAGGTGTCACTCGTTATTCTTCCTTTATTGTAGAAGAAAACTAGGTCTCAGTAATGACTTAAAAAAAATCCCACCACCAGTTAAGTGGCAACCTGGGTCTACGTGACTTTGTAGTCTTTCTGTTATCCCACTGATTAGCCTAACATGTACAATTTTATGAAATCTTCTAGGTTTAAGTGGTATAAAATCTCTTAGGACAGCAGGTGACCTGGTGAAACAACAAATTCAGTGCCATAGATAATGGACAAGTGGCATAGGTGTCAGATAGCTTCTCAATAAGTAGGAGTTGATTATCGTACCAGCATTATTTACACACCTCCCTTCAGAGGCAGGCAATAGAATAGAAAAGTCTGAAAATTGTAATTTTCATTTTCTGGAGGTATTTACAAACATCTTGTTTTATGAATTCTATAATTAGAGTAGTAATTCTGTTTCATCTGTATATTCAAGTTTCTATACGTGTCCTATATAAAGAAGACATGATTGCAATGTTGTGGTGCTCTTTAAAATAATCATACAGTGACTCCATAGTGACATGAAAAAGTCCTTGTGCTCATTAACATCAGAATATAAAATACATTATGATTATAATTATATGAAAATTTTGTGTGTTTCTGTACAAAACTTAGAACATAGGAAAATGCTGGCATGGAGTTAATAGATTTTTTTTTTATAAATTTGATTATGCTATAAATAGCAGGCTTAATTATTTTTCAATAATTCGTCTTGGGCCTCCCCTGGTGGCGCAGAGGTTAAACGCTGGGTTGTGAGGCTGCCCACAGCCTCTGCAGCTCCAGTTCGAGCTGCGGCCACCAGTGAGGGTCCCACCAAAAAAAAAAAAAAATTGTCTTGAAATAATTTCAAACTTAGAATAGTAGTTCAAAAAAACTCCATATTCCCCTCACATATTCAGTCAGTTTTAGCACCTAACTGCAGTCCTTCCATCTTTCCCTCTTCCATACACACACAAATTGAGGACCTTTTTCTGAATCACTTGAGGGCAAGCTGCAGGCATGTTTCCTCATCATTCCTAAATACTTCATTGTACATTTCCCCAAAACAAGAGTATTCTCCTCCATGGCCACTGTAGTAGATTCAGATTAAAATTTCCCCAGCTTTCCCAACTGCTTTTTTTCTTTCTGATCCAGGATTCCAGGTATGAATGACCCTACTATATTTACTTATTATCTCTTGTCAGTCTCTGGAAAAATTTCTCACTCTTTTCATGCTCTCAGGAGTATACAAGATACAGACTTTACCTTCTATAGAATGACTTTACTTAGGTCTGTGCGACCTCTCAACAGGAACATAGTTGGGCCATACAGTCTTGTCAGGGATGCCACAGAAATGATCCTGGTGCTTGATTCTGTGTCACTTCAGGGGATACTTTCTGTAAACCTATCCTACCACTATGGATGTTGAACTCCATTGCCTAATCATGTTGCTATCTCCCAATCTTCTCCACTGTAAAATCATAATGGTCCCCTTGTACTTATTACTATTTTGTGAGGAAGTCTTCCAGTGTTAAAAACCTTTTGGGGAGCAGTGGGCGGCAGGAGAGGTCTGCGCGGCCTGTGGGACCCTCGCCCGGTGGCCGGGTTGGTCTCACTCATGGTCTCACTCATAGCAGGAATCTAGAAAACTTAAATAAGGGACCAGGAAAATGAATATAAGAAAGTGAAAATCAAAATCAACAAAAAACTATGAACCAGAGACACTTTTTGGGGGGTGGGGGGCGGGAGGGGAAGGATTGGGGTCAGAATGGGGCGTTTGCAATTGTATGGGGGAATATAAAAATAAAATTTATTATTTAAAAAAAAAAAAAAACCTTTTGGGGGGGCCTCCCTGGTGACACACACAGGGGTTGGAGACACAGCACTGTCAAGCTGCTGCCAGCCACTGCTACATGAGTTCCAACCCTGGCTCTGCCAGGGAGCTGGCCCACGTGACACAGCAGACCTCTCTTGCCTCACCCACTGCTCCCCTCAGCAGTGTATTTCAGTGGAAACAATACCCTATTCTGCTCCCCACTCTATCTCTGGTGGGTCCTGTCACCACCCCCAGCACCTCTGGCCTACAACCCAGTTCTTGTATGCATAAATAAATAAATCCTTAAAAAAAAAATCCTTTTCCTGCCTGAATCCACTACCTCTGAAAGTTACCGAAGAGTGATTCTGTCTCCATCGTTCCTTCTACATTCATGGGTTAGCATTCTCTATGGAGCACTTTTTCTCTCCCGGTGGATTTGTTTGCTCCTTTATATTAACTTGGGCTATGGGTTCTTAGTTTATTAATGGGTATGTTCTATTATTTTTTTCTGTTTTTGAATTCGTACTGTCACAGATGAGGCTTGTGGGGGCTTCTCAAAGTGACTCCTGTACCCTTTCTATTGATATATGTCCCTGGTATTTTCTAAGCTCTTCCTAGTCTGGGATAAGTTCAGCCAGGCTTATCTTCTATACTGTGTGCTTCAAGTAGAAACCACTCTATTTCCATGGTACCCTGGTTCCTTTTAGGGAGTGTTTCTTGCACTTAATTGCTTCTGCATTTTCAGTGTTTCTGTACCCTCACAATAGACAGTATGTACATATATATGTGTATTTTACATACGTGTGTGTGTTTGTGTGTGTAGGAGAGTCTTGGCTATCATCATCCTCAGTGTAACCAATCTGGGAATCTCACTGGCTCAATCCTCCACTTGACACCTTGATGCCCCATATTCTCAGATGCTGGTGGGCACAGCATTGATCGCTTATGTGGCTGCTGCTCTCAGTCCTACCTCCCACCCTACCAATGCACTCACTGCCTCTCTTATCCCATATTCGTGGGAGTCATGAGGCATACTACCAGAGCACTCTTGCACTTGATTCCTTAACCCTTTCACTGTCCTGCTATGAGTCACCACCTACTTTTATGTTTTATAAAGTATTAAAAAATATATGGGAGAATATGAAGTAATATATCAAGTACATAAGGATTATATATTGTTGAATTTATCATAGCTTTACTAGAAAAGCAGTATTAGTTGTTACTGCAAATGGCCTTATTGGCAGTTATAATGGAGTTCATTACAGTTGCATTTGCTGGCAGAAAGATAATAGCATCCCCTTTTTAAAAGTCTTCTTCTAGGTTTATATTAGTTATGTAATTTCTGATTTCAGTACATAAAGAGAAAAAGTGTAGAAGTAGGTATGTTATTTACCAAAATGGCCATCCTACCAAAAGCAATTTACAGATTCAATGCTATTCCCATAAAAATTTCAATAACATTCTTCAAAGAAATAGAACAAATATTGATGAAATTCATATGGAGCCACCAAAAACCCCAAATAGCCAAAACCCTCCTGAAAAAAAAAGAAGGGAATGGAGGCATCACACTCCCAGACTTCAAACTATACTACAAAGCCTTAATAATCAAAACGGCATGGTACTGGAACAAGAACAGACACTAGGACCAATGGAACTGAATGGAAAATCCAGAAATAAACCCACAGATTTATGGTCAACTAATCTTTGACAAAGGAGCAAAGAATATGCACTGGAGCAAAGAAAGTTTGTTCAATAAATAGTGCTGGGAAAACTGGGTTGCTACAAGCAAAAGAATGAAGCTTGACTACTACCTCACATCATGCACGAAAACCAACTCAAAATGGATTAAAGAACTAAATGTAAGACCTGAAACCATAAAATCTAGAGAAGGAAATATAGGCAAAACACTACATGACATACATATCAGTAACATCTTTAAAGACGCATCACCCAAAGCAGTGATAGTGAAGGCAAAGACAAACAGCTAGGACTACATCAAATTAAAGAGCTTGTGTACAGCAAAAGAGACAGTAATCAAAACAAAGAGACACCCCACTGATTGGGAGAAGATTTTTGCACACAACACTAATGATAAAGGACTGATCACAAAAATCTACAAATAGCTGATGAGGCTCAACAAAACAAAGTAAATAACCCAGTCAAAAAATGGGAAGAAGAGCTAAAAAGAAACTTCTCCAAAGAGGAAATGCAAATGACCAATAGGCATATGAAAAAATGTTCAGCATCACTTGTCATCAGGGAAATGCAAATCAAAACTACAATGAGATACCATCTTACACCAGTGAGAATGGCACATATTTTAAAAAAAGTAGCAACATATTTTAAAAAAAGGATGTGGACAAAAGGGAACTCTCCTGCACTGCTGGTGGGAGTGCAAACTGGTCCAGCCACTATGGAGAGCTGTGCAGAGATTCCTCACTTCTAAAGATGGACCTTCCATATGATCCAGCAATTCCACTCCTAGGTATTTACCCAAAAGACACAGAAACATTAATTCAGAAGGGCACCTGCACCCCTATGTTTATAGCAGCACTACTTAATAATAACACTACTTACAATAAGCTATGGAAACAACCCAAATGCCCAAAAATAGATGACTGGATCAAGAAGATGTGGTACATATACCAATGGAATATTACTCAGCAATCCAAAAAGATAAACTCATGCTATTTGCAGCAACATGGATGGAGCTGAAAAGGATCACGCTCAGCAAAATAAGCCAGAAAGAAAAAGAAAAATACCGGATGGTCTCACTCACAGCAGGAATTTAAAAAACCTAAATAAGGGACCAAGAAAAAGACTAATGCTAATGAAGTAAAAATCAAAATCAACAAGCAACTATAAACCAGAGATACTACGGGGGTGGGGGGGGATTGTATGGGGACTATAACCAAGATGAAAATGCATACATTGTGCAAAAATGAAAAATGATGTAAAAAAATATATAAAATAAAAATAAAAAATAATAAAAAACAAAATAAGTAGGTTTGTTAAGAAGAATTAAGCCATTAATTGTTTTTCATAAGTCAGTCATTGAGATTGCATTGCTTTGTCTTGATTTATGTTTCAGTCTGATAAAATATTTCAGTAAGAACTTTGTAATAATACTGTCAATCCTGATAACAACTCCTTAATATGTAGTATTACATCTGTATTACAAATGAGGAAAATGAATAAGCAAATTGCTTTTCAGTTCCTTAAGTTTTATGAGTCTATGCTGCCTTCAACTTGTTTTTCCTCTAAACATATAGTTTAATTATTTTTTCAATACTGACTGTTTAATTTGCTTCACAGAGATCGAAAACTATGCAATTTGGGCTTAAAGGGCTATTATGTCAGAAGAAACGGCAACAGTGCAGGTAACACAGTATAAAACAATATAATTCTTTCTTGCTAAAGTTAACTATTACTATATTAATTTGTTAGGATAAAATATTATAAGTGGAAAGTAATCCTGTAATCGTACAGTCCTTATTTTTTATTATAGCACAGTTCTATCAAAGCCAGGCTTGTTTTCCTATAGGTCCTGTCCTGTGTGAACTTGACTTCTTTTTCCTGTGTAATGTTCCTTAGTTGTCTCCATTAAATAAGAGTAACCTGAGATGTGAAGTTTTGAAAAGTATATATCATACAGTTTTTTAGCAGAATTTATTGTGTTAAAAGTTAAACTGAGGCACATAAATATTTTTCAAAAGTTTATCTGAGCATACAACAATTTACACCAGACAGGGCCAAACCAAAGGTGGTTAAGGAATGTTCCACTAACAGAAACTAAGGGGAAAGTTTTTTACAAAAGAAAATGGACAAGCAAATCAAGGAACTTACTTGATTTGCCATAGTTTTAGTAGTTGCTTTCTTTGGGAAAGTCTAGTTGGCTGTACTTAAATTTTCATTTTCTCAGATTCAATTCATTGACTCAGTTAGGTTTGATTTGCTTGAGTAAGCTATCAAGGCATTAGAGTCACCTCAATTTTATAGCCTCCTTATTTAACTACCAGTTGTATTGAAAACAATTCAGGATAAACTCTTAAGTGAACATCATTGTCTGTTGTCTGAAGTAAAGAGGTCACAGTCTAGGTAATTTTCCAAGTAACAGACAGAATTTTTTGTACTTTGAGTTTCACCTAGCTACCTGAAAGCCATTTTAATGTCACTCAGGCCTCAGGACCCAAGTTTTCCTTTCTACCCAGATATTTTATGTTTTTCTAGCCATGGGAAAAACAGCAGCATGAGTTATAGTTTAAAATCAGCACAAGTGAAGGATGTCATATTACCCTCAAAAATCTTTTTAACTGCAACATTGAGGGAATAAATCACTTTTTTTTTTCAATTGAGCACTGGACAAAATGTTGTGCTTGTAATTCAATATTATGTTGTACAAAAGATTTATTTGGATACTAAGCTCTCACCAAACACAAGAAAATATGCATTCATGAGAGGAACATAAAATTTAACAGATTTATTTTCCCTATTTTGCTCTTCTGTGCTTTAATAAGTTAATTGAATAGAATGGTGAGTTGAATCCCCTTCATTATTTAGATAAATATCTTGGTTTCCTCTCTTTCAGTAGAATGTATACACTTGAGATTTCTCTTTCAGTCTTTATTTTTACTATTTTCACTGTTCTGTTGCCTGAGATCATTTAGCCAGTATGCAACTCAAGCCTAACTGAAAATGCTAATATAGAAAATTCAGATTTTTAAACGGTTAAGGGCATTTAAATGGCATTTGTCCAGTTAGTGGAATGAGCTACTTTTAAATAACCATGTGAGGAAAAAGTAAAACTTGTTAAAATAAAACAGGTTTTCTGGAAGACCTAGATTCAGGGAGTTTAAAAGGATCTTCCATGATGGTGGATTTCAAATTTTTAATAGCAGAGCCCTTAAATTAATTCAACCTTCCCACAGAACCCAGGGTATCAATCCCACTTGTGATTAAGATGCCTGTGAAGGGCTGAAAGATGTATTTCTCATTTCTCTTATTAACAATTGCTACGATAATTCCACAGATCATTTTTAAAGCCACATAGTTAACTCAGTAATTTTTCAGATAACGAATGTAAAGATTTTACGTATTTTCCTGTGGTAACTCTGCCATGGTCCCTCTTACATCCTTACTGTTTGCCAGGTGCTCAGCACAGAGAAGATAATGGTTAAGTATAAATTGAATGGGAAGCTAGATGGATAGTTCAGGCAGAGCCAGACTAGAAGTTGTGTCTTGATTCTTTATTAGCTATTTTTTTCTATTTCATGTTACCATCTATTTCCATTTGTCCTTTTTTTATTCTTCCCCTGAAAAATTCTAACATTTGCACACCTTTCCTTTGAACAAGTTGTAATTACTCTGGGTCTCAAGTTCTTTAAAATGAGGATGATAAAACCTGTGTCTATATTTTCTCTAAAACTAAATAAAATAGGGCCTCCCCTGTGGCACAGTGGTTGAGCACTGGGTTGCGAAGCTGCCCGCAGCCTCTGCAGCGCCAGTTCGATCCCCAGCTGCTCCCCGGCCACCGGAGGAGGGTCCCGCATGGCACGCAGACTCCTCCAGCCACCCGCTGCTCCCCTCAGCAGTGTACTTTGGTCCTTCTGCCTGCTCTGCTCCCCGATCTGGCTCTGGTGAATTCTCTCACCCTCCCGCACCTCTGACTGTACCCAGTGCTTATATAAATAAATAAATAAATCTTTTTAAAAAAAAGATTTTTAAAAAAAGAAACTAAATTAAATAAACATCTGTAGGAGACCAAGCTACAGATGAGGAGGATGGCAGTCATTCCACCAGCATTACAGAATCACATGACAGCAAAGGCCTGGACCAAGATGAAAGTGAACTTGATTCTGAGGCTGAACTCATGAGAAGTATGGGACTTCCCCTTCAGTTTGGTGGGATATCTGCACATAAGAATTTTGAGGTATGTATTCATTATATTACTTGTTACTTTGTTTTGTTTTGTTTTGTTTTGTTTTGTTTTGTTTTCATAAAATACCACATTGAAATTTTTCTTATCTCAAATTTAATGCATTCATGAGTTAGAGCATTTGCTCTCTTTAAATGTATTTATTTGTAAATTAACCAAAACTAAGCTGTGATGTGTGCCATGTGTGATTAATTTTTTTTCCCTCTTCTAGGAAACTTAGTAAGATTCATTTGTTTGTATAAGGACTCAGAGTATGTGTTTGAATTGAAAGTTGTTTGTTTTTTTTTAATGTCAAAAGAGATTGTATTATCTGTTATAGTTTATGAAGTACATTTTATATTCAAGATATTTATCTTATGTAGGTATCTATGAATACTAGAAATAAAGTTAAAATTAAAAAGAAAAAGAAAAAACATCAAAAGAAGTACTTAGATGAAATTATAAGGGAATCTTGGAAACAATACTATGAAGATGACGATGTTTTGGCTTCAGATGATCCATCTTCAGTTAAGCAGTCTGAGAACATCAGCAAATATAAACTTCAAACCAAAAAAGATAATGAAATTGAAAATCTTCCTATTGAAACTGCATTATCTCCAAAACTAGAAATTACAGAGAAATGGGAAAAGTATTGGAATGAATATGGTGGAGGACTGTTGTGGCAAAGCTGGCAAGAAAAACATTCAGATCAAACACAGTGTTCTGAACCATGGAACATACCTGAAACAAAGGAAGAATGGGAACAACATTATAGTCAACTTTATTGGTATTATCTGGAACAGTTTCATTATTGGGAAGCTCAGGGTTGGACATTTGATGCCTCACAAAGCTGTGACACAGATACTTATGGGTCTAAAACAGAAGCTGACAATGAGAAAGATGAAACTTGCATGAAAGGTGACTTAAATTCTTTTCCATCTGTTAGAATTGATAGTGAAAGCTCTAGTTCAAGTGACAAAGATCATAGTGAAATACTTGGTAGAATGAGTAATATAAATCTAAATTCAGAGAAAGTAGAACAGAGACTATTGGATTCCTCTGTAAGTTGTGATGGACATCAGTGGTTATGTGAAGTTAGCAACAGAAGAGAATGCCCTGCTTCTGGCCAAAGTGAACCATGTAATGGCGGAACCAAGGAAAACAGCTTGTCCAGGAATAAATGCACAAACCAATCTTCTCAAGGTAAGATTGGCCAAGTTTATCTTACAAAGTAATGGTTAACCAAATGAGTCTTTTACAAAATAACACCATCCTTTATGGTAGAATTTAGTCATGCCAACTACATTTTACTGTACAATTAAGGAATTAATTTACACATCTCATTTTTGTATTACAAGTTATTTATTATCCTTTTATATAAATTGGGAAAAAATTCCATAAGGTATCAAAAGTATTGTTTCTTGCTATTGTACCTTGGTGGCCAATGAATTTAAACTTCAGAATCCCTTAAGAGATCTAATTTACATTGAGCTTGGAATTTCCGAGTTTCTCCAGAGGGCCAGAGTTTAGAACACAGGTTAAGGAGTGATTGGGAGCACACATTTGACATCTTGCAAATCTGATTGTGAATCATTTGGAATTCATTTGGAACAATTGAAGTCTTGCTCTATTGAGAATCTCAACAGAGCCTGAAATTTATAACTAGAAGGATTGATTTTAGGATTCTTATAAAATATCCAAGGTAGGGAGCTTTGTTGACTCCTACCTAAGTGAATTAAAGGAAAAAAAGAAAAAAAAAAACCCTCATCATGCAGACTGATACCACTCTCAGAACTAAAGAAAGCCAGTAAGAAGTATTTGGGAGGGCCTCCCCGGTGGCGCAGCGGTTGAGCGCTGGGTTGAGAAGCTGCCCGCGGCCTCTGCAGCGCCGGTTCGATCCCCGGCTGCTCCCTGGCCACCAGAGGAGGGTCCCACATGGCGCGCAGACCTCTCCTGCCGCCCGCTGCTCCCCTCAGCAGTGTGCTTCGGTCCTTCTGCCTGCTCTGCTCCCCACTCTGGCTCTGGTGAATTCTCTCGCCCTCCCGCGCTTCTGACTGTACCCAGTGCATGTGTAACCAAACAGACAAACAAACAAATAAATAAATAAAGCATGCCTCCTTTAAAAAAAAAAAACTTGTTAAAAAAAATAAAAATAAAAAAAAAAGAAGTATTTGGGAGAAGTTAGAGTAAGGTGAATATAAGAATGCTCTTGCTGCATGGGAGGGTCCTACCAAGTCATGGCTCTGGGAAAGTGGCAGAGGCAGGAAATTTCACAACATTTTGATTTCCTGAAGTCCACTGAGATATTATTTTGACATTCTTGATGTTTAGTTTTAGAAAAGTCTGGTTTATCAAAACTTCTTAGCCTTATTCCTAGATGAAGCAAAAGGTTTTGGCCTTTGACTAAACAATTGGTTTTGCTTTGCTCATTTCAGATTGATAATCTTTATCTGGTTCAGTTTCCTTTAAAGAGTACCTATAGAACTCCATCTGTTTTTTTATTGGCGTTTTCTCTACACTCTTATAATGGAGCTTAATGTAGTATGGTATTCTCATTCTTTTCTGCTTGGTGTTATTTTTATAGTTAATGTGATTATTTTAAATTAGTCCAGATAATTCTGTTGATTATTTTTTGTACTTATTGACCATTAAACTTGAAATTTGTATATTGGTCAATGTGTTAGCCCTTAGCTTACTGCTTCATGTTACTCGCTTTGATTTTCCTCCCTTCTCTTTCTGCTTTTTTCTTATGTCAAATGTAAATTTTACTGTCTATGCCTTCTATCGCTTGCTTCCTACATTATATGTAGAGATTAACCATTTTTGTTGCTTGTTCTCTTAGTTGTATAGGTAATTGGCCATTTCTCTAATTAGCTCCATTGTGACTGCCATCAGGATCAATTTGAGAATTTTAGGTTTTGATTTCTTTTAGGTCAAACACAAAGCACATACTGCATTTCTATCTTTCTACTTCTGTTGGTGGTTGGGCATTCTTTTTTGCAATCTGAAAATAAGTGAAACAAAGACACAAGCCTCAGATGGAGCCATGACAAGTAAAAAACATTCTTTTTAAGTGATGATACTTATCTTTCTGATGTTTCCACTATTTAAGAGCTATGGTAGAAACAAATGCATTTGCTTCTTCATAAAAAGAGTTACTTAATCCATGTGATCATGCTGTTGTTAAAGTCATTAAATTAAAATTTCATCAAAATATGATAGCTAATGACCATCACAAAGTAAGTTGTGGACTAATTTGTGTAGATCTGGATGTCAATAAGTAGTTAGAACTGGAAACTTAGACTTTAATAGAAGTAGCTACTTTTTTTTAAAATTTATACCAGTTAAATTTTAATAAAATACGGAAACTGTGCTTCTTTACAACTTTGTCCCAACCCTTTGAGTTGTTGATGTCATAAATTACGTCTTTATACAATGTGTGCCCCAATTTATGAACTAATATTTAATTTCATTAAACTCAAATTATATAAGAAATAAAAGGTGAAATTAAAATCAGAGTCATAATATTAACTTTTAGACTAATAATTTTTGAACATGTATTAGTTTCTTAAATCACACAGAAAACAAAAAGTGGTGTTACAAACTGTTATTGCAATAATACTTCCTTTAATGTATACCAAGATCTTTGTTTCTACACATGGTGTAGGCTGTTATTTAGTGTGCTTTCTGCTCACCATGCCAGATTGCCATTTCTTGCAGAGCAGGTTTAGTGGTAACAAACTCTCTTAACTTTTATTTGTCTAAGAAAAATCTCAATTTCTTCCTCAAATTTGAAACCATTTTGCTGATGATAACATTCTTGATTGTGTAACCTACTACTTTACTAAACTGGTTTATTGTTTAATTACTTTTTCCATGGATTTTTATTAGGATCCTCTCTAAATAATATCTTCTCATCTGCAAATAATGATAGTTTTAGTTCTTCTTTCCCAATTTGGATTCCTTTCATGTCTTTCTCTTGCCTAATTGCTCTAGCTAGGGAATTCCAGTATTATATTGAAAAGCATTATGAGAGTGGACAGTCTGTCTTGTTCCAGAACTTAATGGGAAGAATTTTGGTTTTTCACCATTGAGAGTGATGTTAGCTGTAGATTTGTCATACGTGTCTTTTATTATGTTCAGATACATTCCTTTTTATCCCTAGTTTTCCTAGGACCTTCATCGCAAATGGACATTGAACTTTATCAAATGCCGTTTTGGCATCTATTAATTAAATTTCATGGTTTTTCTTTTTGTTGATGTGCTGAATTACATTAATTGATTTTAGGATGTTGAACCATCTTTGTGACCCTGGAATAAATCCCACTTGGTCATGGTATATAATCCTTCTGATGCATTATGGATTAGTTTGCTAAGAATTTTTTAAGGATTTTAGAATCCTTGTTCATTAGGGAGATCGGTCTATAGTTTTCTTTGTTTGAGTTGTCTTTGGTTTTGGTTTTAATGTAATGTTGGCTTCATAAAAGGAATACTTAGTACTATTCCTTTTTTCTTGATTTTTTTTTGGGGGGGGGCATTTTTGTAGGATAGGCATTAGTTCATCTTTGAACATTTGATAGAACTTGCTTGTGAAACTATCTGATCCTGGGCTTTTGATTTTGGGGAAGGTTTCGATTTCTTGGCTTATTGTTTTAAAATTCTATTTCTTCTTCAGCTTAGGGTGATTTTGTGATTCCAAGAATTTGCTAACTTGTTTGCACAAAAATGTTCATTGTACTCTCTGATTATCCTACAGATCTCTGCTGTATCTGTTGTAATTTCTCCTCTTTATTTATTATCCTATTTGAGTTTTCTCTTTTTCCTTGTTAGCCTAGCTAAAGTGTTTTCTATTTTGTTTATTATTTTCATTAATCTTTTTGTTTCGTTGATCCTTTGGACTGACTTTTTAATTTCTATTTCATTTCTTTCTGCTGTAATTTTTATTATTTCCTTCTACTTTTTTGGATTTTTTTTTTTGTTGTTCTTTTTCAGTCCCTTGCAATGGGAGATTAGGTTGTTCTTTGGGTTCTTTCTTATTTTTCTTGATGTGGGCCTTATTGCTAAATATTTGCCTCTTAATACTGCTTTTGCTATGACTCACACATTCTGGAAGGTTGTGTCCTCATTGTCATTCACCTCAAGGTTTTTTTGTAATTTCATCTTTAATTCCCTTGCTAATTCAGTGGTCTTTCATTAGCATGTTGTTAAGTCTCTATGTGATGGGGGAGTGCATTGATTTCTTTTCATAACTGATTTCTAGTTTGATGCCTTTATAGTCAGAGAAGATACTTAGTATTATTTCAATCTTCACGTACTTATTTTTTGTCTTGTGATCCAATATGTGGTCAGTCTTAGAGAATGATCCTGTGTATTTGGATTTTGGGGAGTGTATTGTCCTATAGATGTATGTTAGATCTTTATTTAGGGCTATTGTGCTCTTTTTTATTTTTTGTCTTGTTGATCTGTCCGTTGATGAGAGTGGGGTGTTGAAGTCTCCTACAATGTGTGTATTTTTCCAATGTCTGTTTTCAGAGGTATAGTAATTGTCTAATATATTTTGGTGCTCCTTCATTTGTTAAGTATATGTTTATGAGCATTATGTCTTCCTGGAGTGTTGTCCTCTTGATCATTATATAGTGACCATCTATGTCTCATCACCTTTTTTAGCTTGAAGTTCATTTTATCAAAATATGGTTGCCCCTGCCTTCATTTAGGGGCCATTTGCTTGAAAAATTGTTTTCCAATCCTTTACTTTCAATCTGTGCTTATCTTTGGAACTTAGTTGTATTTCCTGGAAGCAGCAGAAAGTTGGATTTTGTTTTCTAACCCAACATGTTACCCTTTATCTTTTTATTGGTGAGCTCAGACCATTAACATTTAGAGTGATTATTGATATGTGGAAGTCTGTTATTGCCGTTTAGCTTATCATTTCGAAACCTTGTTTGGTTCTTTGTGTTTATTCCCCTGTTGGTTTAGGGTCCAAGGCTTCATTTAATATTATATCTTGAAGTGGGGGGTCAGTAGTAGTGAATTTCTGAAGACTTTAAGAAGGTCCTTAATTTCTCCTTGTATGGAAAGGAGAGGAGAGCATTGCAAGATAAAGTATGTTTGTCTGTAGTGTTTTAAACATAGCTACAGTTATTTTATGCTCCATCTCTGCAGGTAGTATATAATCAGTAGATGTGGTTTGACACTTTGACATACACATACAATTCATTGCAGGAAAGGCACTGAAATATTTTGATTGCCTATGCAAATGGCAGAAGAGTTGTCAAACCAAAGGGAGAAATCTACTACAATACCTCTGCCTCTTTAGATTTGCAGGAGTCTTCAAAAGCAAATGCAGTCAAAGAAAAAACACACACCAACGGTGCTGATGGAGATGAGAGTGAAGAAGATCCACCTGAGCATAAGCCCAGTAAACTCAAGAGAAGGCAAGTTGCATGTTAATGTTCTCTCCAGAATGTATTAGCATAAGCTAGTATGTCTGAATGAGTCTTTATTTAGAAAGTACTTGTTAAATTAAAACACTGCTAATCCATGAGAAAAAGAGGCAAGACATACTGGGAAGACTACATTTTGAAACATGATCATTTCCCAACTCTACCGCTTATTCTGCCACCATTTCTCATAAGATGGAATCGATGCCTTTTTATGTGAGATCATTGGGACGACTGGAACTAACGTGTGTCATATCTAACACTTAGATCTATCAATAGGTGATAGATTTTAAGTAATACTGATAATAAATAGGTATGGTCTTACAAGAGAGTCCTAATTTTTTCAAAAGTCTAGGTATATATTATCACAGAATTTCATTTCTAGTAAGATCTCAGTACATCAAAGCTAATGCTTTCATTCTATAGATACAAATACTAAATTGAAAGGGGGGGGTGGTAAATGCCTTGCCCAGAGTTACATAGCATGAATGGCAGCTCTAAAGCTAGAGATTAGACTTTAGAAGACAGTGTTCTTTCTAGTATTAATAAATATGGAGCAGCAAACAGGGAATAATCTAAGGTAGAATATGGTCAGATGTTCATGTTATAAAATACAAGGAATGGATTGATATTATAGAATTTGGACATTAAGGAAACATTTATTTCTCTGACAGAATATGAAGTGCTTCCATAAACCTTTCATTTTTAACAGCTTCCGAAAAACAGAACGATTTGGAGGTGTAGTAACATAGTATGGTTATTCTTTTAAGTAGTAGTAACATAGTACTTAAAAGCATATCTGTAGTATGTTCCTTCTGCATGGTAGACATTGCTTGTAAACTCCTCCATTAGCTCCTGGAAGCTATATATGCACATATATTCCTGGGATCTTGTAGATACTCCATAAATGTTTAGTGCACTTAGCTTAATTTATAAAAGCTCTTTCTCACCATTTTTATTTATTTGGTGCTGTTGCCCAGGTAGTGTAGAGATACCTAGAAGGCATTCCCAGTAGGTAGATGATCCCATATTACTTAATATCACTTGTATCACAACCTTGTTCTTCCCTAACAGTATTTTTCCTTTTTTAATTTTTTTGGTTGGGTTCAACTTCTTGAATGTTTCCTTGCTTGATTTTAAGGAAAACCTCTAGATATATCAGTCTAGGAGATTAGTTTAAGGCTATAACTTTTATTGGTGTTTTTTCAAAGGAAAATGGAGAATCTTTATTTGTACCATGTTCAGTGGCTTATGATTTGACATAGTTTGTTACTGTGTTCTAAATACTGCTAGATACTATATCCAATTTGGAAAATCCCAATTTAAGTACTCTTTCTTATCTTCCTAAATTTGTGTGCTTATAGTTGATAGTCATGATGGAAAAGTTTGCATTGGTACCTTTTGATATTTGCCTGAACTGACTCTGGGGTAATAGCTAAGTACTATTTACCTTTTGTTTCTTTGTTTAGCCATGAACTGGACATTGATGAAAACCCAGATTCAGACTTTGAAGATGACGGTTCTCTGCTAGGATTCAAGCATGGCTCAGGACAAAAGTAATTATACATAAATTCTGTTATCTTTCAGAAATCTTAACTGCTTGAGCTATCTTAAAGGTCTCCAATATTCGGATAGCTAAGAATGATTGATGATGTATTCCATGGTGGTATGTTACAATTAAAATATTAACCTCTCATTTAATAAGAACTGTAGGACTATCACCATACATTGTGACATATTCATATGTTAAAGTTGCACTTTATAGCAATCCAATGCCGTTACTCAATTTCATAGCTAAAGCAACTGCAGCTTACAGAACCTTTGAATTGGTCAAGATCATATAATTTCCTGGAGAAAGGATATAATCCCAACTGTTGAGACTTCAAAGCATGATTCTCTTTTCATCTAGAGTCTCACATGTCTACCCCGGTACACTATCTGAACTGTTTAAGCAAACATGCATGAAAAGTTAATAGCCATGGTATTTTTTTTTCTTTTTTCTTAAGAAAGTAGCAAAACTCAAAGCAGAAGTACCAACTATAGAGTAAAACTCTTTTATTCAAATCATTCCTAAAATGTAGACAAAACTTGGCATATATCCATCCACATTAATGTGTGTGTTTTATAATTATGTGCATATAAACACACGAGTCCCTTTTTATAAAACATAAGAATCATTTTATAAAACACAGATATGCATATTCTGGGGCTTGCCCTTTCCCCCAACAGTGGACAGTGAACACCCTGCTGTGTCAGTGCACATACATTTACTGATCCTTTCAGTGGGGCTGTGTGTTTCATGCACCATCCTATATGCACATCTATGTTACTTTCTAAGATCTAAGCATATGCCCTTGAGATTCCCCCAGGTTATTGCATTGTACAGGTAGCTCATTCCTTCTTACTACTGGAATAGTATGTCATTGTATGGATATACCATTTGTTAGATATTCATTTGTTTAAGGACACTTGAATCATGTGTGATATTTTGCTGTTACAAATAAAGCTGCTGTGAACATTCATATCCAGAAGATTCAAGTTTTCTCTGGGATTAAATGCCCAAGTATTAAATATAAGGAAACTGAAGGATTTATTGCACACGACACAAAGATTGAACTTGAATTAAGGCACACAAAAGACCTACTGTCTCAAGAGCTAAACTTAAATCCTCTCCAATTTACACCAGTGATTTTAGTTAAGATTAAGGTATTTGATATTTCTAAGGGTTGAGATTTATTTTTGTTAGCTGTGAAAATTTAATGGGGACCTACACATTATGAAGTTAACAAGAAAAGGAGATTGTTCTTATGGTTGACCCGTAAGTTGAATTCAAATTAGTTCAGAAATGAACGTTCATAATTATAGTACTGTGAATATTTTTATTATTAAAGACTCAGTTATCACTTCCTTATGGTACTTAAAGGCAATTGTAGTTCATATAGTTATCTAAAACTAAAGATGAGAAAGATTAGTAATATAAAAAATTTTTTTGATATTGCCATGTTTAAATTGGTAGTAGAATTTATTTCTACCCACATATAATTTTATTGAGAAATTACTTGGATAGCTCTTGGCTTATATACACAGATTTATTCTTTTTTTAACTATCTTCTTTCTACTTAAAGCACCCTAAGAGTAAGATACACTTTTTATAAAGAAGTTTATAACTAAAAAATAAACTTTATTTTTTAATTTTAATTTTTTTATTACATTGTTGTTACTTTTAGGACAGTATTTGATTTCTCCCCTCCGGTGTAGTCCCTGTAGCTCTCCCTCCACCATAGTACCCATGATCTGTCACCATAGTCCCTTCTGCTCTTCCCTCCCTGTTTTGACCCTTCTCCCTCTCCTGCTGTCTGCCTCAGGTCTATGGCCAGCTTGCAAGTTTTGTCTTTTACCTGACTTTGGTTTCTCTGTATTCCACATGTAAGTGAAACCATTTGTTATTTATGTTTTTCCTTCAGACTTATTTCACTTAGCATAACCCCTTCTAACTCCATCCATGTTGCCACAAATGGCATGAATATGTCTTTTTTGATCACGGAAGAGTAAGCCATTGTATATACATACCACATCTAGATCCATTTGTTTGTCTGGGGGCTTTTAGGTATTTCCCATATCTTGCTGTTGTAAATAGTGCTGCAGTGAGCTTAGGAGTGTGTTTGTGGATTTTATTTATTGTGTCCTTTGGAACATCTGACATTTACAATCAAATTACTCAGGAATATATAAGTGCTAAATTGTATATTATAGTCCAAGGCCCAAGTAGTGTATAGGAGGGCCAGTTAAATGAGACTTGATATAGTCAAAGGAGGCTTTATAGTGGACACATATTTTTAGGACTGCAAAATTCAGATGGTTAAATCAACATACATTCTCTAATTATTTTGATAATAGTGACTTGCTTCTTTGTTAAGCATGGACTAAATTTGATTATGAATATAGGAACCATTTTTAAGATAATTCAAACTTAACAGATATTTGGCATCATCTCACCTTCACATTTAGCTGAGAGTTAACATACAAACTGGACCTCAGAGTTCCCTTCATTTTGAACTTTATTTCATAATTTTCTTCATTTAGAAAAATGAAATGAAAATGGTGACTACTAATAGAAAATAGTGAAAATTGTTAGTTTTTTTCTCTTTTCACGTAAGGAGACAAGCCCATAGAATTATGTTTGAGTCCAGTTCTTTTGGTTTGGTCACAGATATGGTGAGATTTCAAATTTTAGTCATCGACGGGTCAGGTATCTACAGAAGAACGTAAAGTATAAATCAAAGTTCCTGGATATGCGAAGGCAAATAAATATGAAAAACAAACACATATTTTTTACTGAAGAGTCAGAAAAACCGCTTTTGAAGAAAAGCAAAGCTTTGAGTAAGGTAAGTATAAATTTTTTTTTATACTTACAGATAGAATTTCATTTTGTGAGCGTGGCTCCTTAAAACTGTTGTTTTCAAATGGAAACCCTTTTTCTACCTGATAATAAGGGTACCTAAAAAGCATATATTGTATGAACTAAATTTAAAAACCTAAGTTGGGGGCAGTGTGAAAAGGAGATGTGTCAAAACTACAAAGTAGTAGTGTCTAGGAAGATAAATAGGTAAAATTGCCCTTTATAAAGTAGTAAGGATAGTAGGATTTCACATCTCATTCAGGTAAGTAGGATCCTTGGTAGTCCATTTCCTTATCACCTTTTATTGTAAGCCTTCCTTTTTTAGGTCATCCAGAAGCAATAGATCAAACTTTGTACTAGTAAGTTCAGCTTAATAGCACGAGACTCAGGATTAATTTAGTAATTTACAACGTTGCTAATCTGTTATCCCAGTATCAGTCCAATCAATCCTGTGGGATTTTTTATGATGTATTTGATGTGATGGTCCCCATCATTTATATGTATCTAAGAATAGAAACATGATTGCTAAGGTTTGGTGAGGAAAAAAATAAATGTGAGTGTTGTGTCCTTAGATATCTAATTGTTGTGTATGGTTCAGTAACGTCAAAGGAAGATTCTGGGTTGTTGTCCATTTTCAGCATCTGTGTTCAATTCTTGTTCTGCTTTATTAACTCAAGAAGGACATGAAGATCTGTTATGAAGAATATTCATGTTACTGAAAATGCAAGGAAATATTTATCATCTGCCTTATAACCTTGTTAACATTTCAGAGAATAAATCCTAGTTTTTGGGCATCATCTTACTGACTCAGCTGATTTCTTTCTAAGATAACACTGCATTTATTCTCTTCTTTTTTTTTTTTAATTAAAGATTTACTTCATTCACACACAAAAGAGCTGGGGCATAGGCCAGAGGCGTGGGGGATGAGAGGATTCACCAGAGACAGCGGGGAAAAGAACAAGCAGATCCACTGAAGCACACTGCTGAGGGGAGCAGTGGGCGAGTCAGGAGAAGTCTGCTGCGCCATGTGTGCTGCTCCCTGGCCGGCCGGGGATTGAACCAGTGCTGCAGAGGCTGCGGACAGCTTCACAGGCTGTGTCTTAACCTCTTGTGCCACCAGGGAAGCCCAACACTGCTTTTATTCCTATAGACAGATTGGCACTGTCCTTTTTTGAGTTCATCTTTGATTTTGAGTACCACAGATTGTAGCCTGAACCATTGCAGAAAGCTCTACATAATTTGAAAAACCAAAATTAATAGCTCAGTAATAATTATATTTGTGATGGTAACATCACACAGTATGGTTATATGTTAGGAAAGCTACAGGAACAATTCAGCTTTATCCTTTTAGTGTTAAATGATAATAGAGTGGCTACAGTCTTACGTTTAATCTGATGCTTTTTCTCTTTTAAAGAAATCTTTAATAAGGTTGTGGTATATCCAGACAGCAAAGTGCAATTAGAATTATTTACTCATAATAGCATGTGTGATGCGTCATACTTCTTGGAGATAATAAGTATGACACAGCTTGTCATTAAGTAATAACTGGTAAAGCAGGTGGAAATATTTTGTGTAATTTGGGATTAACTCATGCTTATTGACATCTTACACTCTTAGGTTGAAAAATTTCTAAAATGGGTCAATGAGGAAACATCAGCTTCTCACAATAATGTGCTAGACACTTGTACAAGCAGTGATTCAGAGGAACAAGAAATTTCTGTTAAAAAGGGTGATGACCTGCTGGAGATTAGCAGTCCACAACCTGAAAAGTGCCATGCCGTATCTGCAGGTTGTGAACCTGAAACAGAAAAAAATGAAATGGCTAGCTCAGTAGCAGCTGTTACAGATAAGCAGGATTGTGTTACTCAGGATATACCAGACTGTCTTCAGGGAGAAACTGAAGGTAAGACTAAATCTATTTCACCTTGCTAGTGGGTTTAGACAAATACATTTTTTAAATGTCTTTCCTTAGTTTTCATTTATGAATCATCTCTATCTAAATTTTCATACCTGCTATTTATTTTTTTAAGTTGAGAGAGCATATTAAAGAGAAATGTTCTAATGGCTATGGCTTAGCACCCAGGGCATACTTAACTCTTTGCTGAGCAAGTACAATAAAATAAAAGGTAAAGCATGTGGGAAAAAGGACCTCTTCTGCCAGTAAGATTGGTCTCTGCCACCATGGGCATGACGTTCCGTGGGCTAATGGTGGTCAATTTCCTTTAATTTTTTTGGGTTTTTTGGTAGTGATTTTTGTTTGCTGATGATAATTTTTTTTTTGACGGTACATATATGTAAAAAGTATTTATAGTACATGGCTTTAATGTATGTAGAAGAGAATAACATGTTTACTATGCCCTTTTGTACTATTTGAATATTTTTTACAGCAAATGTTCTTTTATAATTTAAAAGAATAATCATTGTATTCGATTGAACATTGAGGCTATTATAAGGTAGAAATTTCATTTAACATTATTCAGTTTTATTGAATTTTTCAGACATACCGTAAATGGAGCCAGTAAGTATTGTTAAGATCCTTCATAGTTTTAATTTAGTATTGAGGAAAATACTTTACTTGAACCTTGATTTTTTTTTTTCCCCCTGTGTGTGTGTGTTGACCATTGCTTTTTTTTTTTTTTTTTTTAAGATTTATTTATTTATTTATTTATATAAGCACTGGTACAGTCAGAAGCGCGGGAGGGTGAGAGAATTCACCAGAGCCAGAGCAGAGAGCAGAACAGGCAGAAGGACTGAAGTACACTGCTGAGGGGAGCAGCGGGTAGCAGGAGAGGTCTGCGCGTCATGTGGGACCCTCCTAGGAGGCCGGGGATCGAACTGGCGCTGCAGAGGCTGCGGGCAGCTTCGCAACCCAGCGCTCAATCGCTGTGCCACCGGGGAGACCCGACCATTGATCTTTGTAATGCACATTTCGTTGCCTTTCTAAACAATATACTTAAGGTAGTTTTAATTTTATTATCATCATGCAACTAATGTTCACTGGTACTTGGAGATTTCTGAATGTTTTCACGTTTTATTCTCATTTAATCTGTAAAGTAACCCAGTGAGGTGAGTAGAATTATCCTTGTTCAAGAAATATAGAAAGTAAAGCTCAAAGAAATTAAGAAAGTTGGGGGCTTCCCTGGTGGCGCAGTGGTTGAGTGCTGGGCTGCGAAGGTGCCCGTAGCCTCTGCAGCGCCGCTTTGATCCCCCTCCCGCGCTTCTGACTGTACCCAGTGCATATATAAATAAATAAATCTTTAAAAAAAAAATAAGAAATTTGCCAAGGATCATTTAGGTAGTATATAGTAGCTATGACTCAGTACCAAGTGATCTGATTCGTAAATCTCATTTTCCCTACCCTACTACTCTCGGGTATTTGGAAGATATTGGTTGAGAGAATGCCTTCAGGAATGCTGGCATTTAATAGTCTAGGTTACTGTGTGGTTTTGCAGAACAAAAAATTGTTCACTCAAAATATAAGTATCCCCTCTCTTGAGAAATCTCACTGGATTTTGCTATTGATGACATTTTTGCTGGTAATAATGACCACATGTCCATATTAAGACATGGTCCTTTCCTTGGAATTATTTTAAATATAGTAGTTTCATGTGTCTGTATCATTCTTCTCATTATACATAGTTGATACAGCACACTCATCTTTCTAAGTCACTGCTTCTGATTTGCTCAAAATTGAAATCAAATAGTCAAACTACTAAAAATTGCAAGTAAAAAAAAATCAGTCTTTGATTGAATGAAATAGAGATAATTACTCCTATTTCACACCTTCTAGTTGATAGCTAGGTTCTAAGTACTGATGTGACTAAGAATGAGAGCTTTATCAATCCTTAAGTGATTTTATTTTAAAGAAGGTAAGGGAAATATTTAAATTCTTATAATTCAAAAACTAAGTAGTGTCTTATCTAGCAGGGGTAATAACTTTTATAGCTATGATAGTATTTCTGCTTATTGCCTAACATTCCTATGAAATAAGTAGGTGGTTAAATAATACTCATTCATTCACTCCTGATAAGGAATTAAAAATAAGAGCTTAGAGAACTCAAGTCACTTTATAAGCTCAAGGAGCCAGTAATAGCAAAATGGAGACTGTAATGTAAAGTGCTGTTTCCATTTTGCCTTCTGCTTCTCCATACATGTTCTGGAGCACAGTCCCAAAATGTAAACATTTGATATGTCTGTACTTTTAGATCAATTCACTGTGATTTTCTTTTTTTAGACTGAGCTCTATGTTTTTTTATATTCTTTTATTGTAGCTGAAATTAAAAAGAAAAAGAAGAAGAGAAAAAACAAGAACAAAAAGGTAAATGGTCTGCCTCCTGAGATAGCTGCTGTTCCTGAACTGGCAAAATACTGGGCCCAGAGATACAGGCTTTTCTCCCGATTTGATGACGGGATTAAGTTGGACAGAGGTGAAGTATATGTATTTTTTTACTTTATTTTGTAATTATTTCAAGTATACAGAAAAATAGCAAGCGCTGTGTAGAAAACTTTCAAAATTTTCATATCCCCATTTTCAACTATTAACATTTTGCCACATATGCTTTTTCAATCTCTGTAGATGTGTGTGTGTGTGTGTGTGTGTTACTTGTTTGTATTGCTAATTCAGTTGTTCCTACCCCTTAACTTCAGTGTGTTTTCTTAAACCAGAATATTTCTGCATAACAATAGAAAAATTATAAATTATAAATTTATAATTATAAATCTAACATTGTTACATTATAATAATCTACACAACTTATTCTAGTTTCTCCAGTTATCCTGGTCATGTCCTTTATAGCATTTTTTTCATCCAGTATAGGGTCATGTATTTTCACCCAGTATAGGGTCATGTATGCACTTAGTTCTCAGACTTTTCTGTCTTTCATAACACTGACATTTTCAAGGGATGGTCATCAGTTTTCCACAGTATCCCTCTATTTGGTTATATACATATATATGTGTGTGTATGTATGTATATATACATACGTACATATATGTGTGTATACATATACATGGATACATGCATATATACATATATATACATACGTATATATGTATATATACATATATGTGTATATATAAGTTTTTTAAACTTCAGGTTTTGGATTTAGTTTGTATTTGTAGTCTAGGATAGATAGCAAAAATATTTGATAGATTATTAATCAAGACATTTGATGAAAAAATATATAGTGCAGAAAAATAAGTTTAATAAATTAACACTAAAATTAGGTTTTTTCCAGCTCTTCTGTTCAGCTCTTGAACAGCTTACTTAACTTGATCCTACAAATTGATACTTATTTTCATATCAGGGCTACCTAAATATTGGTATTAATTAACTCAAAACCAGGAGCTGTTAATCTGGTGAAAATTGAGAGGTTCTATGAAATATGAATTATATACAAAAATTGTGTATTGAGAAAAGTATATTGAAGTTTGTTAATGGCAATATGACTGGAAAAAGATCTTCTAATTCTACAAAAAGTTTGTGTTTTTTATTCTTTCAAAAGCAAGGAGAAGCTATTTAAAGTTTCAGTAAAGAACAGGAAAATTGGTATATCATTATTTTCAGAGAAATATCTTTTTTGAGATCAAATGGCAAAGTTGGAAATCAACTGTACTATAAACAGGAGTTCTGTGGTTGTACAAAAGAGAGAAATATCTTTTTTTTTTTTTTTTTTTTGAGGGAGAAACTATATTTTTTAAGTCGATTTTTTTTTATATTTTTTAAATTTTATTTTATACATTTTTTACATCATTTTTGCACAATGTATGCATTTTCATCTCGGTTTTAGTCCTCATACTATTCCCATCCTCCTTGTTTTGATCCCTCTCCCCTCCCCACCCCCCCCCACCCCCTGGTGTGTCTCTGGTTTATAGTTGCTTATTGATTTTGATTTTTACTTTATTAGAATTAGTCTTTTTCCTGGTCCCTTATTTAGGTTTTCTAAATTCCTGCTATGAGTGAGACCATCTGGTGTTTTTCTTTTACTTCCTGGCTTATTTCGCTGAGCATGATCCCTTCCAGCTCCATCCATGTTGCTGCAAATTGCATGAGTTTATCTTTTTGATTGCTGAGTAATATTCCATTATGTATACATACCACATCTTCTTGATCCAGTCATGTATTTTTGGGCATTTGGGTTGTTTCCATAGCTTAGCTATTGTAAATAGTGCTGCTATAAACATAGAGGTGCAGGTGCCCTTTAGAATTAATGTTTCAAACAGAAAAGTATCTTTTTGAAAAATATAAATATCCTCTTGGGAAAGGAGGACACTATGCTCTCTTTTGGAGTGAATGACTCGGCCTCATTTCTGAAAATAGTTAGTGTTCTGCCATCCCTACTACACTTCTTTTGCGATCAGCTTCTTGCATTTCCTGACACTTGAATAATGTGAGAATTTTTCCAAAATATCCAGTGCAAATGTGGTTCATTGCTTCCTTATTAGGTATGAAATAATTGAAGAACTGTGTGAACTTAAGAGAGTTGGCCAATTAGAATAGCTAACTTTCCATTTTCCCTAGTCAGTAATGGCTCAGGCAGAGAAATTGGAATTATATTCATTTATGGACATATTGCCAAAGAATCATACAAAAATGGAAGTGATTTTTTTTTCTCTGAAGATTGGAAATAGTAGTTAATTTTTAGAAAGCTTTATGGAACTCTTCTTTAAAACTAGGTAATTCATACTTTTTTTGAAAGGAATGAGTTTTTAAGTATATAATATGTAGTGATGTTTGTTATGTTTGTTTTTCTTGGCTTCTTGAAATTGAACATTATATTTTAAGAGAAATACTTTTCTTTCACAGAGGGCTGGTTTTCAGTTACACCTGAAAAGATTGCAGAACACATTGCTGGCCGGGTCAGTCAGACCTTCAAATGTGACATTGTAGTGGATGCGTTTTGTGGAGTTGGAGGGAATACCATTCAATTTGCCTTGACAGGAAAGAGAGGTAATTAGCTGTCAATGGAAGAGACCTATTTTATTCTAATTTATGCAGTAAATGTTTCATTTTGCTTCAGCCTTTGTTGAGATTTAATATATAGTTAATAAATACCAAATATTTAAAATAATAGTATATATTAAACGCTTTGTATCACATCTTAATGTAAGTACTTAATATGTATTAATTTATTCAATCAGCAGTCTTGCAAAATGTTTCTTTTACTATCTGTGTTTCATAGATTAACTGAGAAATAAACTGATGAAGTAATTTATCCAAGATTAGACAGGCACAAGTTGGTGGAACCAAGGTTATAACTTATAAAACCAAAAATATTAAAATGGAAGCCTATTCTTTAGAAGAAAGGGACAGTGGCAGTGCACAGAGCCCCAGGTTTGCCATACAGTACCGTTCTGACTTTGGACATCATTTATCCTTAATTTAAAGGACACAATAAGTTGAGATAATCTTTGTGATATCTTTCAGCTTTTAAATTCCTAAAATTCCAAAAACCTTTCAAGTATTAGGTCATCTTTGTGGTTGTTCGATTTTGGAATTGCAAGAAAGAAAACTTACTATAATAACTATATATCGACCAGGAACTACGTCAAGTGGTTTTATATGCACTCTTTCACAGGGCAAACAAAGCTTTAGTAAATTGAACAGTCTGTCCAAATTAACAAAATTGAATCATAAAGCCAGAATTTATGCTCAATTTTTTGTATCTAATACCCTGTTCTTTATAAATCCTTTTTAAAGTATAGCGTGGTTGGATATTTTAGAGATAATAAGTTATTAAGTCATACACTGCAGATGCCTTTTTTTTAAGTATCTTTACATTATGTATATCAGTAATAATTTGTCTTTAAACACACCTCATACAAATCACATTTGTTTACACAAAGTTCTTAATATTAACTGGGAAAGCATGTAACTTTGAAAAGCTGGAAGTCACAGAAAATGCAAAGTGATTAATTCTAACATTGATTTTTTTTTTTTAAACCAGTGCTGATGGATTGTCTCCCTTATTCAATCACTCTGGTGTTTCAAGCATGACATTTGCTAACTTTATTATGGTCTCCTAGCCTCCCTATATTGAAGCTATTTTCACATGTACCAGAATAGTAATTATGTCCTTGTTTTTCAAGACTTTGCTCTTTATTCTTAAGGTTCTCTGCCTTTGCCTATCCTGTGAACTCAAATTAGTGTTTATTGCCAAAAAAGATTTTTCCTCAAAGTTGTAAACCTTTATAACTTTTATTTTGGCATTGTATCATAACATGACAATAAAAATGTCTTATCTCTGATAAAGCAGCAAATCTGGAAAATTTCTCAAAACATTATGGAAACAGTCCATATGGTATATTTGTATTTCTCCAAATACACCTCTATTGCCAAGGGTTTCTGGAGCTTAATACACATCTTACACATTTCGTAAAGGTAAATGTCTTAATGTTGGTCTCAAGTTAAAAGGAAATTACTGTTACCATGTTCTCAAAGTTTTTAGCTTCTTTAGATCACTTACACTTACAAATTATCAGCCTAGCCTCTGGGAAGGAAAGGAGACGCACAGCAAACACTTTCCCATACCATGGTGATCTGGCTTCTGTCCTTGGAACATATGGAAGTGGAAGCTTAGGAACCTTAAAGCATGTTCAATATAGTGGTATCTGCTCCCCAGAGCAGAATAACTCATTGGTACTTTAGTATTAGTCATATATGTTGCTCTAGTATGCTTGAGCTGACCACAGAATAGTAGAAAATTCAAAACAAAGTATAATTGATTGTGTATGAGTGTGTGTGTGCACATGTTTATATACATACCATATGAGAAAATGGCATTATGACATGTTTCCTGTTTCCATTCAGATACACAGAGTCAAACAAATGGTTAGAGTATCCCCAAAGGTTTACATTTTGTTGTTAAAAGATTTTTTTCCCCCTTTGTATGTATTTCAGTAGTGCATTATCAATGCTGCTCAATAGAACTTTAGTGATGATGAAAATAAGTCTCTATCTATCCAGTATGATAGTCACTAGCCACTGGCTGTTGAACACTTGAAATGTGACATTTGACTGAGTATTCTCTTAATAATTTATCAATATAAAGGTAATCACCACTAGTGGCTGCCATTACTGGACAGTTATTTATATAGTATCATCCATCATTTGGCAACATTGCATGTATATGATAGATTGCTTATGTTCTGTTAGGCCTAAAAACAAAATATGACCTCCAAGGGAAGGTGAAAACATGAGAATTAACTGTGTATATTTGATATTCAAAGCCATTTTTCCCTTTGAATTTTTTGGTAGTGTCAGCATATCTTTCCATCTGTCTCTGAATTATAAATACAGCAGATTGAGCAGCTGAAAAGGATCTTTTATAAAAATAAATGTTTATTTTGAACAGAAAACATAGAATTGTAAATGCATGATTTTGCAACATATAATTTGTTCTTATATTCTTGATTCACGTGATTTATTTTGTGCAATATTTCTCAAAAACATTAACAAACACTGAAACCTGCATTTTCTAGAAAATAACTGTTTCCATGACTACCATTCTGCATGCATCAGGGTCCCACTTAGCCCTTCCAAACAAAATATTGCCATTAATATACAGGCACACATACAAGTGCGCTTGGTAACTTACTACAGGACATGAGTGAGCTAAAATTAACTTATGTTTGTGCTGCAAACTATGAAATTACAATAAGTTAAATAAAAGCGCATTCAAGGAAAATAAAAACATTACCTATTCCCTCTACCTGACATGCCTCATTAAACATCATTAACAGATGTCTTTACATTTCTTCTTTATAAGTTGGCTATATAGGTTTCTTAAAATGTGTTTTATTTCAGTTTTCTGTAGAAGTTGTCAAATTTGTCTTCCTTTTGGGAAGTTGCTTCTATTTGAAGAGATTGGGCTTTTCTGAAGTTTTAGCACTATAAGCCTTTCATGTGGTTGGTGACCTTTCCAAGAATTTGCTGCTCAGACTGTTCATAGAGCAGAGTGCCAAGCACATATTTGGCTCTCTAGGTGGCAGCTTTCACTATTTGCTTTGGTAAAACTGGCTGACTAAGATAGCTTTGAAAACTAGGTTCTTCATTCATATTTCCTTGGTACAAGACAAGTGAATCTTTAAATTGAAAAATCTGTCTCTGTTTCTTTGTGCCTATACCTCCCTTAATCTGTACTTTTTTTTTTTACAGAAGATAAGTAGATTGCTCAGAAGATGAACTGTTCTCTGTAACTAATAATCACTGTATTTGATTCATTTTTGTTTTCCCCTTTTTAGTGATTGCCATTGATATTGATCCAGTTAAGATTGATCTGGCTCGCAATAATGCAGAAGTTTATGGGATAGCAGACAAGATAGAGTTCATCTGTGGAGACTTCTTGTTGCTGGCTTCTCATTTAAAGGCTGATGTTGTGTTCCTCAGCCCCCCCTGGGGAGGGCCAGACTATGCAACTGCAGAGATCTTTGATATTAGAACAATGATGTCTCCTGATGGATATCCTTTGGAATTCTAAAAGTTTACTCAAAGAATAATTATGGAGAAAGAGGGAGAAGAGAGTTTCAGAGAAAGAGACTGAAAGGGGAAGGCGGACACTTATTAGATTCCAGGTTTTTTGCATCTAAAGCAGATTGTATGTAAAATTAAGTGGTGATTGATAACCAAAAGTAATGGCAAATGTGAAGTCATGGTTCCTTTGGTTACTGTCTAGTTTTCCCATTGCAAAACAAGAACTAGAATGCACTAATTTTTGGCATTGTCTGGAAATAGGTAATTTGCTCAACACCTATCCCTAAACTACGTCACCATCCCTTACTTAACCTTTATTCAACTCATACTAACTTTTGCTAATTCTCTGTGTATCTTCAAATTTTCCCTGTTATTCTTCCAAGATACTCGAGCAAACCCTGATTTCATAAATAATAGCACAGTTAAATTTAGAATGTAGACTAAAGTATGTTTCTGACTCTTAACTACCTAACACTAGGATAATCTAATAAATAGGTTTAACTTCTAACCTCTGACCTATCAGGGACAGTATGTTGCTGAGTTACAAAATCTGCTATGTATTTCTCTTCTAGGTTCCATTTAAAGATTTAGGTTTGTTCCTTACTGCTACACATCAACATTCATTGGAATTATAATAAGTAAAGAACATACCTCTGATAAAAAAATTAACTGCTTTTTTTGTTACTTTTCCTTAACTGTTCACCACCTTTGAAATTTTCAGACTTTCCCAGAAGATCACTAATAATATTGTTTATTTTCTGCCAAGAAATGCTGACATTGATCAGGTAAGCTATTACTCAAGAACATGCATGAGCCTCTGGCATCAATCACTGTTACAGAGAATGGGCAGAAAAAGACACATGCTATTTAATTAAGAATTTTTATGAGTAGTCCTTGGTTTTTCCACCACTAGGAAACTGGAAGTGCTTGGTACTTAATTTATCCCTGTTTCATTGTCTTCATCTCCACAGTTCTTGGCAGACATGTATATGTAAATAGAGCTCTTTAAGCTTTTATTACTTATATTGAGAGGATGATTGAATATGTTGTTTCAAATGCTCAATACCTAAACTAGTCAAGATTTATCCTTCTTAAAACCTACCTTGAGAATAGAGGTTTTGGTGTTATTGAAAATAACCTTAAAAAAAGTACAGACAGATAAAAACCTTAATTTGTCCAAGAACAATTTAACTATAGTTAGGATATAGAACACTTGACTAACATTGAGATATCCTTATTCTATTCTTAACTGTAAACATGACTACTTTAATCATGTTTTTTTTTTTTTTTTTTTTTAAATATTAAATTTTATTTTTATATTCCCCCATACAATTGCAAACGCCCCATTCTGACCCCAATCCTTCCCCTCCCGCCCCCCACCCCCCAAAAAGTGTCTCTGGTTCATAGTTTTTTGTTGATTTTGATTTTCACTTTCTTATATTCATTTTCCTGGTCCCTTATTTAAGTTTTCCAGATTCCTGCTATGAGTGAGACCATCCTGTATTTTTCTTTTTCTTTTTGGCTTATTTCGCTGAGCATGATCCCTTCCAGTGCCATCCATGTTGCTGCAAATTGCATGTGTTTATCTTTTTTGAATGCTGAGTAATATTCCATGGTATATATGTACCACATCTTCTTGATCCAGTCATCTATTTTTGGGCATTTGGGTTGTTTCCAAAGCTTAGCTATTGTAAACAGTGCTGCTATAAACATAGGAGTGCAGGTGCTCTTTGGAATTGATGTTTCTGTGTCCTTTGGGTAAATACCTAGGAGTGGAATTGCTGGATCATATGGAAGCTCTATGTTTAGTAGGTCCAGAAATCTCCACACAGCTCTCCATAGTGGTTGGACCAGTTTGCACTCCCACCAACAGTGCACAAGAGTTCCTTTTTCTCCACATCCTCGCCAACATTTGTTGTTGCTAGTTTTTTTAATATGTGCCATTCTCACTGGTGTGAGATGGTATCTCATGGTAGTTTTGATTTGCATTTCCCTGATTACAAGTGATGTTGAACATTTTTTCATATGTCTGTTGGCCATTTGCATTTCCTCTTCAGAGACGTTTCTTTTTAGCTCTTCTGCCCATTTTTTGACTGGATTATTTTCTTTGTTGTTGCTGAGTCTCATCAGCTCTTTGCAGATTTTTGTGATCAGTCCTTTATCATTAGTGTTGGGTGCAAAAATGTTCTCCCAGTTGGTGGGGTTTCTCTTTGTTTTTGTTATTGTCTCTTTTGCTGTGCAGAAGCTCTTTAATTTGATGTAGTCCCAGCTGTTTATCTTTCTCTTCACTATCACTGCTTTGGGTGATGTGTCTGTAAAGATGTCTTTGATGTGCAAATCCCGTAGTGTTTCGCCTATATTTCCTTCTATGTATTTTATGGTTTCAGGTCTTATGTCTAGTTCTTTAATCCATTTTGAGTTGATTTTTGTGTATGGTGTGAGGTAGTGGTCAAGCTTCATTCTTTTGCATGTAGCGACCCAGTTTTCCCAGCACCATTTATTGAACAAACTTTCTTTGCTCCAATGCATAGTCTTTGCTCCTTTGTCAAAGATTAGTTGACCATAAATCTGTGGGTTTATTTCTGGATTTTCTATTCGATTCCATTGGTCTGTATGTCTGTTCTTGTTCCAATACCATGCAGTTTTGATGATTATGGCTTTGTAGTATAGTTTGAAGTCTGGGAGTGTGATGCCTCCATTTCCTTCTTTTTTTTTCAGTAGAGCTTTGGCTATTCGGGGTTTTTGGTGATTCCATATGAATTTCATCAATAATTGTTCTATTTCTTTGAAGAATGCCATTGAGATTTTGATTGGAATAGCATTGAATCTGTATATTGCTTTTGGTAGGATGGCCATTTTAATAATGTTTATTCTTCCAATCCATGAGCAGGGGATGTCTTTCCATTTCTTTGTGTCTTCTTCTATTTCTTTTAACAGTGTTTTATAGTTTTCTTTGTATAGGTCCTTTACCTCTTTTGTTAGATTTATTCCCAAATATTTGATTTTTTTTGTTTCGATAATAAAAGGGGTGGTTTTTTTGATTTCTTCTTCTTCAGATTTATTGTTTGTGTATAGGAAGGCTACTGACTTTTGCGTGTTGATTTTGTATCCTGCCACTTTACTGAATTGATTGATGAGTTGAATTAGTTTTTCTGTGGAGATTTTGGGGTTCTCTATGTATATTATCATATCATCTGCAAATAGTGATAGTTTGACTTCTTCTTTTCCTATTTGGATTCCTTGGATGTCTTTCTCTTGTCTTATTGCTCTGGCTAGGACTTCCAGTATTATATTGAAAAGCAGTGGTGAGAGTGGACATCCTTGTCTTGTTCCAGATCTTAATGGAATTGCTTTCAGCTTTTCACCATTGAGAATGATACTGGCTGTTGGCTTGTCATAGATGGCCTTTATGATGTTGAGGTATGTTCCTTGTATCCCAAGAATTTCAAGGGCTTTTATCATGAATGGGTGTTGCACTTTGTCGAAAGCTTTCTCAGCATCTATTGATATTATCATATGGTTTTTATATTTCTTTGTTGATGTGTTGGATAACGTTGATTGATTTTCGGATGTTAAACCATCCTTGTGCCCTGGAATGAATCCAACTTGGTCGTGGTGAATTATCTTATGGATACATTGTTGGATTCTGATAGCTAAAATTTTATTGAGGATTTTTGCATCAGTGTTCATTAGGGAGATTGGCCTATAGTTTTCCTTTTTTGTGTTGTCCTTATTCGGTTTTGGTATTAGTGTAATATTGGCTTCATAGAACGTGTTTGGTATTGTCCCTTCCTTCTCAATTTTTTGGAAGAGTTTGTGAAGGATAGGCACTAATTCGTCTCTGAATGTTTGGTAGAATTCATTTGTAAATCCATCAGGTCCTGGGCTTTTGTTTTTGGGGAGGTTTTTAATTACCATTTCAATTTCGCTGCTTGTAATTGGTCTGTTTAGGTGTTCTATTTCTTCTTTATCTAGCTTTGGGTGATTGTAGAGTTGTAGGAATTTGTCCATCTCCTCTAGATTGTTGAACTTGTTTCCATATAACTGTTCATAGTAGTTACTGATTATTCTTTTGATTTCTGCTGTGTCCGTTGTGATTTCTCCTCTTTCATTTATGATTCTGTGTATTTGTGCTTTCTGCCTTTTTTCCTTTGTGAGCCTGGCTAGGGGTTTGTCTATTTTATTTATTTTTTCAAAGAACCAGCTCTTGGTTTCATTGATCTTTTGGATTGTTTTTTTAGTTTCAATTTCATTTATTTCTGCTTTGGTTTTTATTATTTCTTTTCTTCTACTGGTTCTGGGGTTTTTTGTTGTTCTTTTTCTAGATCTTTGAGCTTCGAGATTAGGTTGTTTCTTTGAGTTCTTTCTTGTTTTTTGATGTGAGCTTCTATTGCTATATATTTTCCTCTTATTACTGCTTTTGCTGCATCCCATACATTTAGGATATTGGTGTCCTCCTTGTCATTCAATTCAAAGAATTTTTAATTTCTTCTTTGATCTCCTCGTTAGTCCAGTGGTCTTCCAGTAGTGTGGCTTTTAATCTCCATGAGGTAGGATAGTTCCTTGCCTTCTTTTTATGATTTATTTCTAGTTTGATGCCTTCGTGGTCAGAAAAGATGGTTGGTATGATTTCAATCTTGGTGTATCTGTTGATGTTTGTCTTGTGCCCCAGTATGTGATCGATCCTGGAGAATGATCCGTGTGCGCTTGAGAAAAATGTGTACTCCGTTTTTTTTGGGTTTAGTGTTCTATAGATGTCTGTTAAGCCCAAATGCTCTAGGTCCTTATTTAGAGCTTTAGTTTCTTTACTTATTTTTTGTCTTGTTGATCTATCCATTGTTGATAGTGGTGTGTTGAAGTCTCCCACTACATACGTGTTTTCTCTGATGTCTGTTTTCAGAGAGGACAACAGTTGTCTGATATATTTTGGTGCTCTTTCGTTTGGTGAGTATATGTTAATGAGTGTTATTTCTTCTTGAAGTATTGTCCCTTAATCATAATGTAGTGACCATTGGGGTCTCTTTTTATCTTTTTGAGTTTGAAATCTGTTTTATCTGATATAAGTATAGCTGTTCCTGCTTTCTTTTTTGGCATTTGCTTGTAGGATTGTTTTCCATCCTTTGACTTTGAGCCTATTTTTATCTTTTGTAGCTAAATGTGTTTCCTGGAGACAGCAAAAGGTTGGGTTTTGTTTCTTAATCCAGGCTGCAACTCTGTGTCTTTTTATTGAAGAGTTTAGTCCATTTACATTTAGAGTTAATATTGATATGTTAGCATCTGTATTAGCCATTATGTTTGTCTTTCCTTTGATTTTATTTATTTATTCTTTTAATAACTTTTTTTTTTTTTTTTTGGTTTTCTTTCGTTGTTATTCGTCCCTCTGAGGTTCTGGCTTTAGGATTCCTTGTAGTATTTTTTGGAGTGGGGGTTTAGTCGCAATGAAATTCCGGAGTTTCTCTTTGTCTGGGAAGGTCCATATTCTTTCTTCATGGAGGAAAGAGAGCTTTGCGGGATAGAGTATTCTTGGTTGGCATCTGTTTTCTTGGAGTCTGTTGACTATGTCCCTCCACTCTCTCCTTGCCCGTAGTGTTTCTTCAGAGAAGTCTGATGTCAGCCTGATTGGTTTTCCTTTGAATGTTATCTGTTTCTTCCCTCTTGTCAGCTTCATTATTTTTTCCTTGTCCTGGATTCTTGGGAGCTTTACTATTATGTGTCTTGCTGTGTTTTTCCTTTCGTCGTGGAAGTTTGGTGTTCTTCTTGCTTCTTGTATATCAATTTTCAGCTC